GACTTCCTGCCCTTGAGAATAGGATCATTCTTTAATCATGTTTTGTTTCCTATCAAGCATGGCCATCTCTCTTTGCACAAATGCTTTTAGTAGACCCAGGCTTGGGCATTTTTGCTTTTCACTCTGAGGTTTGGGTGATTTGAAATCTGTTCTTGCAATGATTGAGTCATCTTGGGCAAACAGGATTGTGCTTTCCTTCCTGTTCTCTCTCTCTTCAGCCACTTCTAAAGAGCGGTGAAGTTTAAAGAGTTCCTTGGGTAGATGTATATAATTGGTAACGTAAAGCTTATTTCAGTGGACTTGTGGATGTTTTGTGTATTTTAATTACACATTGCATATTCTTGTCTTTGTGAACGGCTGAGAATCCTTTCGGACTCAAACAGTCTATAAATGTGATTAATAAATTAATAAGGCCCTCATTAACCAGACAGCCTATTGCACGTATAACGGGAGATAAGTTCCATCTTGCTCTCATGCATGTAACTTGTTAGTAAACCCATTAGCAATAAAGTTAGACATCAAATAAAAGAGCAGGCATAGGCAATCAGTCAAACCATTTTCAAAGAGGAGAAAACGGTAAAAGTCATGTCAATTTCAAGTTGAGTTCAAGCATGTCCATGCGGTTTTCTTGGCCCTAATGCAGAACTGACTGACTAATGTCTTATCTGAGACGTTTCTTGGCTTCCTAGTCCTGCCCTGCTATTTTCTGGAGGATTCCCGTCAACTTCTAACCAGGTCAAACCCTGTTTAATATCCCATCACCAGAGAGAATCCGGTAAACGTTGCAATCTGCCGAGATTCAAAATAGGATAGACATAATTAAAAAAGCCTGGGAGAATAAAATATTTGGCAAAAAAAAATACTTTGCAGTGGTTAAATGAATCTGGATTCCCCAATGGCTTGGCTTGTCGGAAGGCCACAGAAGGGGACAACGTAACTCCCCGGGACACTGCAATCGTCATAAATATGAGTCCGTTGCCAAGCATCCATATTTTGGCCATGTAACTGTAGGGATGCTGCAACAGTTGTAAGTTTGAAAAACGGTCACAGGTCCCTTTTTTCGGTTCCCTTTTAACTTCAAGCGGTCACTAAACAAACGGCTGTAAACCGAGGACTATCATTCATACGGGATTGCCTCTTGCAATCTGCTATCAGAGTTCCTGAGACGGGACTCGCCCTGCTCATCCAGGCTGGCTATTGGTGCCTCTTGGATAGGAAGGATGGTAGGGCTTTTGGCTGGACTCCGAGACTTCCTGACCAATACTGTTTTTTTTTAGGCTGGATTCTTGGCTCCCTTTCCAGCTCTTGACAGCTCACAGCTGAACTGGACAAACGATCTCCCGTCAGGAATCTGATTTATGGAAGCAGTCCTGAAATGGCCTCAGTCAAAGCTGAAAGATTGGTCCCAGCGAGGTTAGTTTTGCAGCAGTAAGAAATCGAGCCGTCGTGAAGCCCAAAAGGGGTTCTTGATGCAAATCCTGGCAATGAATTTGCGGTGCCCCAGGACTGCCCCAGGTGTGTATCTGATTGGAAGGTCAAGGAAAAGTAAGGTACTGGGAGGTCATTTAAGGTAAAGCCCCTCTCATCAATTCACAGTATTTTATCTGGGTATAATTCAGCCTGTAGAGCAGAATTCTTTAAGATGAAGGCTCCAGATGTGCTCAACAGCAGTTTCCATGAACTATAACAGCTCCCCTCACCAACAAACGTTGAGAGCATTGACTTAGAGCAGGGGTCTGCAAACTTGGCCCTTTGATGACTCGTGGACTTCAACTCCCACAAATCCTCAGCCAGGATTCTACATACGGTTATCTAACGCAGTTCTTATTCAAATACCTGTATCTTTCTAACACATTGATATTACTATCGGTTGTTGTTTTTTTTAACCTGTACTTGGTGTACATAAGGGCTGGCCAAACTTAAAAAAGGTGGACCCAAGCCTTGAACGGATGAGCGCCGATGTTTAAAAGATTCTTGTGAATGTGTAAAACCAGGCTAGAAACGTTGAAAGGCACCAGAACTGAATGTTTAAAAACGGATGTAAAAAAATGGAAGTTTTTAAGAAGAGACTGGACAGGCGTTTGTCTGAAGCGGTATAGGGTGTCCTGCCTGAGCAGGGGGTTGGACTGGATGACCTCCAAGGTCCCTTCCAACTTTAATATGATTATTGTTGTTGTTATTGTTGTTGTTATATAAAACGTGGGCCAAAATGTTTAAAAGTCTCCTTTCCTCCCCCCCCCCACCCGCTTTGCGAGGACAAGCCGGCAGCCCCGCCCTCCCCGCGCTAGCCCCGCCCAGCCCCGCCCTCACCCCGCCCCCGGCGTGTGGCCCCGGCCGCCATGTTGTTTGGCTTGTGAGGAGGCGGAGGCTGGGCGGCAGCGAGAGAGCGGCCGCCGCCGCCGCCACGGCCGCCACGGAGGACTCCGAGGGGCTGCCGTCGTCGCCGGGACCGGAGGGCCGCCGCGCCATGGCCGGGAGCCGCCGACAACGCTGCCGGGTAAGCGGGCCGCGCCGGGCCTGAGGGCGGCGGGGGAGGGGAGGGGGGGGAGGCCGCGCGGGCCTGGGAGGGGAGGGGGCCGCACTGAGGGCGAGCCCGGGGCTGGGGTCGCTCCCCCCCCAGGAGGGAGAGGGATGCTGCGGGCAGGGGGAGCCCGAGGAGGGTGAGAAGGAGCCTCTTTGCCGGGGGGGGGGACTGTGCGGTGATCAATAATCATCATAGCAATAATAATAGTAGTAGCCGAATATTCTGACTTTGCAAAAAATCCCACCTTACGTGGAACCTTCACTGCAGGACCTTGACAACAAGTCAATAATAATAATAATACACACACACACTACTACTACCTTAATAGCTCTCTTGGTTAGGACTTGGAGTGGTTAAATTTTTAGTAGTCCCAGACTGAATTGAATTGAAGATTAAATCAATAATAATAATACACACACACACACACACACACACACACACACACACACACACACACACACACACACACACACAGATGTTACCTTAGCAGTTCTTAGGTGCTTGGTTAAGACTTGGAACTCTTTTTACCAATCCCAGACTGTGAATTGAATTGAAGTTTAAATCTTTAATAATAATAATAATAACAACAACCCATCACTTCTGGCCATTAATAGTTACTAGTCACCAGAGGGGATATTGATTCTCTCTCCTCCCCCCCCCCATTTTGGCCTTGAATGAGATGAGCCACCAAGAGGAAGAGGAGGAAGGGGATGGAGGTAGAAACGGATGCTGGGCACGGTCTGCAGCGGTGAAGGCTGAGGATGGGCCGAAAGGCCTGGTCTCCCTTCTGCGAGGGGGATCCCTCTCTCGTGGGGAGATGGGCTCCCAGTCTCATCATCCCTGACTAGGGGGCAGATTGGGGAGCAGGGCGGCTGTTCTGGAGGGGTCTGGGAAGAAGGGGGGAGTGAGGTGTCTTGGGAAGGGGGATTGCAGCCCCTGGGGAAGGTCCAGAAAAGAAAGTCATGGGGTGGGGAGTCCAGCACTTGTGATGTGGGGGCTGGAGTTGAGAAGCCTCTGGCAAGTCCTATCAGGACAGGTAGCTAAGCGCTGAAGAGAAACCCCTAAGAGTTGAAGGGGTCTCGTGCCCTGGCTGGAGCATGCAAGACTGCTCCTTTCCAGCCCAGACAAATGCACATTTGCTGAAAAGTCCAATTTTAACCAGGACCCCTGCTTTTGTGCTGCTGTCGAAATTGGTAAGTAAAGACGTGATGTAATTTTTGCCTCTCCTAGACTGGGTGCAGCCAGATTTTGATCTGCGATCCTTCATCTCTAGGGCAGGAAACTGAGTCTCCGTCCTCTTTGCTTCCTTTCTCCCACACCATGCATGGCAGCTTTCTGTTCTGTTCCCCCGAGCTGAGTCTTCTGGTTTTGTTTTTCTGGCTGGTCCTCACTCCTTCTTGTCCAGTATTACTGCCATTAAATTATCCTTGAGCTCAGCTGTGGTTATTCCAGAGTAACTCCCATCTTCCACTTCCGGGCTCCCGTTCATCATGCAGATTAGACTACCTTGAAAAGGGTGTGGGGAAAATTCATCCTATCTGTGCTGTGATTATAATTTAAGGGATTGAAGCAGGTTTATAAAGCACCTCTCTCCAAGTTGCATGTGGGTGGGTGTGGGGGAAAGCTGCCCTGGAGGAAAAGGAGCATGATGAAAGTCAGCTCCTAAAGTCTTAACTAACCATAAATGACAGTCACGAAGTATCCTGGCACGTTGGTTATTAAATAGTCCTTGACTTATGGCCACAACTGAGCTCAGAATTTTGTTCATGAGAAATGAGTTGAGTTTTGCCCCATTTTACGATTTTTCTTGCCACATTTGTTAAGTGAATGACTGCCATTGTTAAACCAGTATCATGGTTGTTAAGTGAATCCGGCTTCCCCCATTGACCTCGCTTGTCAGAAGGTCGCAAAAGGGGATCATGTGCCCCCCCGGGACGCTGCTACCGTCATAAATGTGAGTCAGTTTCCAAGCATCTGAATTTTGATCAGGTGACCCTGGGGAGGGATGCTGCAACGGTGAAAAATGGCCACAAGTCAACTTTGTTCGGTGCTGTTCGAACGGTCACTAAATGAACAGTTGTAAGTAAGTTGTAAGTCAAGGACTGCCTGTACTGTTTGTCAAATACAGATAGTCCTCAACTTATAACAGTCCTGTACTGCAGTCTTTTCTTGCCTCTCTGCCTAATTGTCTCTTATTTCTGTTCAAAAATAGTCCCTTTAAAAGGAATCCTTGCTTGGGGCCTGCAAAGCAGGATGAAGATTACAACTTAAGTCCAAATAAACAAGCCCGTCTGGAACTGGCCTTTCGGCTAATAACTGGGCCATTCTTGGAAATGCCATTTCTTTTAAGAAATGCGGTTTCCTTTCAGCTGACTGGAAGTACTTGCTGATGCTTAAATACTCAGTTCAGGTTCCACATCTTCTCCATTCTGCTTTACCGTCCAAGCTGCTGAACTATTGTGACTTGCTATTGTTTAGGTTGCGCCTCAGAAATCTGGATTGGGAAATTTGTAGGTTTGAAAACAGCTGTTAGATTTCAGAATTATCCCAGAAGAGGAAGTTATTGGGTGAGGACGGAGAGAGACCTCTTTAGTTTGTGGCAGTGGCTGGAAAAACGTGGCTAACAGTTGGAAAAACAGCAGGAGAAGGAACGACGTTTGGGGTTGGGGGTTTGAAGTCGCCACGGAGATCAAGGTATGGCTTCAGAGGACCACATGTTCCTTGGTTTATGAAAGGTTGGGTATAGCAAACTGCTGTGTCATTTCATGTGGCAGAAAGCAAAATATCTCCTGGTGCCATATTGAGTTGTGCATTGCAATTATATAACTGCAGAGGTGTTAAAGAGGGAGGCAGAAAGAGCTAAGATGAATGCAAAAGGGATACTTTTTGTTCAAGGGCAAAATTGCAGGTTGCTATTATGCTTATGGAACTGTGTAATCAGGTAAGAGGAAGTAAGGCTCTCCTTTGATTTTTTTTTTTTCAAATAAATTATACAGCTCGTTAAAGAGCTATTCCAGCTGGTTCTCATGTGATCTATCATGCTCATGTTGAAGTATTCAAAAAAAAAAAAAAACAATCTTACTAGGATTTTGGATTTTTGCAGGAACCTGCTTTACTCTGAACTAAACTGTTGGCACGTTTACTTTATGACTTCCTTAAAGTGATTTTCGGTTCACAGATAGTCATCTTTTTCAGTTCTCCTGTAGGAATTGTTCTTGGGAGAGCCTAAATCGGAAAATGGCCCTTCCCAGTAATATATATTTCACAAAAATGCTTTGCAGTTTACTGGTTACTATGGCAAGTTCTACTAGGAAGAATGTAGTTCTTTGGCATCCAGAGTCACCTTGTAGAGGAGATCAGTGGCATAAAAAAATAATGAATAAATAGTGGGTTTATAGAACACAACAAAAGCTGTGTTTTGTTAGTTTGTGGGTCATAGTGTGTTTTGTTAGTTTGTGGGTCATAGTTTTGTAGGAATCCAATTATTGTTTTAACATAGGAATGAACCATTACGTAAAGCTGTGTTTCTCAACCTTGATAAAGTTAAGATACGTGGACTTCAATTCCCAGAATTCCCTAGCCAAACATGGTTGACTGGGGAATGCTGGGAATCAAAGTTTACACTTCTAAATGTTGCTAAGGTCGAGAAACTCTAGTGTGAAGGGTAAAATATTGGACCAGGTGTGGGGAGGCCTATTCCATCCTTAGCCACAGAAGCTCACGGAGCAACTTGAGCCAGTCATCCTCTCAGCCCAGTCTATCTCCCCAGATTGTTGTTATGGGGACAAAAAATAAGAGAAGAGTCTACTGCTTATGTTGCCTTGAGCTCCTGAACAGAAAAGATATAAATCAATCAGGCCTATGATTAATGGAAGGCAATAAAGCATAATGGGAACTTAGCCATGTGTGGTTTTGAAGCCTATGTTGTGGGAGCCCAGACACAGTGCCATTTAGCTTTATTTTGCATATTTAGCCTGTCAGAGCTGTCATAGAAAAGCTTATTACTTAAAGTGATTGACAGAAGTAGGCTAATGAAACAGTTTTAAATTAAAATGATATTCAGGAATGCCAGCTTCAATAGAATATAAATATTTTAGAAACCCTTCTGGGTGTCAGGTGGGCTGCAGCGCTGCACTCTTTGAAGGGGGGACAATGCAAAGTCAGCCTCTCGGCCTCCTGGAGAAGAACAGGAAGTTCGGGTGACATTGTTGGGGAGGGCAAGGCCAGTTTTCCTTACCCTCCCTTTTTTGGGGGGAGAGTTAAGAATGGGAGTGGAAAGCCTCTGGGAGGCCTGGTTTTTCCACTACTCTCCTTAAAATATCCCGAACTCCTTAGTGCAGGTGTCGACTTAACAGCCATTTATTTAGTGGCCATTCAAAGTTACAATGGCAAGACGTAACCTCATGTGTGATCACCTTTTGCAACCTTAGCAGCGTCAATTTTGGACTCAGTTGTGGTCATCAGTCAAAGATCTTAGGGCTTGAAACATGCAGCTGAAAATTGGGCCAAATCGGGGTATCGGGGGGGGGGTCTGCTAGTTGCCCCTCCTAGCTATGCCCTCTTCCTTGGCATTCCTGACACAGGCATGAGAAACAAATGAAATAACCCTGGCATACTTCTGCTTAGGTCAACCTTGACTTCTTCCTGTCTGCAGAGATGCTGAGGTTTCTTCACAGCTTAGGTCACTCAGGCCTATTTCAGTTGAACAAGCTCCCTTTCAGGGTGTTTACACAAAGCAGAAAGTGTTACTTCAGAACTGTAAATAAGGATACCAGCGTTTCTTGGTGGAGAAAAGGACTCTCCGTTCTTTCCTGGCGTCTGGGCGTGCTTATCCTCCGAAGGGGGCTGTCCAGTGTTTGGGAATTCCTCTTCACTCCCTTCTGACCAGGTTTATGGGCATCCTGGGAGTGGCACAGCGCGAGCAGCATCGTGGCTTGTGCAGAATGGATCCTTCCGAGTTTTCCAGGGAAGACGTAGCAGACCCCGTCCCGTAGTTGCTTGCTGCTTTTCATTTGAATCCTCCTAACCGCTTGCTCCTGTCGTTGTATAATCATGGTTTGTAGATTTAACCCTCACGACAAACATGCAATTTAGTTTCCTTAATGCTAGTTTTCTACAGTACCAGAACTGGGGTATTTTGTAAAAGTGGAGAGTAATTTTCTCCCTTCGCTGGTAGGTTTGTGGTGACGGAGTTAATGGCTTCCAGGCCTGTTACTGTGAGGTGACAACAGAACGAGAGAGGCTGCTTATATCTAATTTCCAAGCTCTTTCTTTCCCTTTCCTCTCTGTCTTGTGTGAGCTGCGTTGTCCTTGGAAGGTTGCTTAAGTTTATCATCTCAGATGCAAACCCACAAACGGGCACTACAGATAGTCCTCGACTTAACGACCGCAATTGGGACAAGATCTTCCATTGTAAGCAAGGTGGCTGTTAAATAAGCTGCACTCGGTTTTACGACCATTTTTTGCCGCAGTTGCTAAGCGAATCATTGTAGATATGAATTGAATCATGAGGGCATTAGACAAATCCGGATTCTCCCATTGACTTTGTTGGTGGGAAGCCGACAGGGAAGGTCACACGCTGTGAGCAAATGGACACGCACACACACCACCTCCCCAGGAAGCTGCAACTGCTGTAAATACACACCAGTTGCCAAGCATCTGAATTTTTGATCATGTGACTGGAGAGGCTTGGACAGTTGTAATGTTGAAACCAGTCGTATAAATCATTTTTTCCAGTGCTGTTGTAACTTCAAATGGTCGCTAAACAAGTGGTTGTGAGGCGAGGACTACCTGTGCTAATGCGGTTGTTGAGATGGGTTTATTTTGTTTTGCTTTTGGGAAGGGGAAACGCAGTCAGTGTAAACACCACGGAATACATGGATGTGACATTGTTGCCAGAAGCACAGCACATATTCCAGGTTGCTTTGTGATTTGTGACATTATCACCTAGTTTAAAATGCTGTTCTAGATTCCTTTTTCTGAGCTGGGAATATCCACAGTAGGTGTTGGTGTGCACCTCTTTCCAGGTATGGTTCTATTCTCTTGCTGTTGAAGCTTTTCAAATCTTGATCGCTCAATGTGAACCTGGTTATGTGCTCATGAGCCTCCAAATAAGGCAGAATTTGAACTCTGAAGCTCCAAATCATCATCATTTATAATGAAAGTTACTTAATGTCTGTGGTTCCAGAGCTACTGGTTGTTCTTCCTTGGTTTAGACAACTCCAAGCTAGGCGGACCTGGGATGTAATTTGATGTGCAAGCCACCTTCTTACTTTTTTATGTCACATATTTTATATTTGCTACAACTGTGATGGTTCCCAGGAGGAGAGCTGGGCTGCAGTGTATATTTGTTTTCATTCTGTTCAGAATAGTGATTTGTTTAAAACGTGTCTTGTTTTGGTCCGGGAGACACACTGGTTAATTTAAAAATTGCCTATTAGGTTATATCTAAATATAATTATTAAGTGATGTTCATAAAAAATGATGTAGAATGTGAGGACAGCTCTCTGAGGAAATATAAACGAAACACTAGAGGGCAAAAAAGGACATTTTAGGCAGAGGAAATATTTATACGTGCTTCTACCTTAGTTCCACACACATACCGATATTGCTCATAAACCTGGTAGCGGTTCATTTAAGCTGTGATAAACTTGTCTTAACTGATTCATGCCTCATTCCAGTCTGGAGCATTCAGTAGTGTGTGTATATGTGTGTAAAACACCATCTTTTGCAAACCCCTTCTGGTAAGGTTGAGAAGTCCAAGAAATGCGTTGCTATTGGAAGGCAGCAATTGAAGCAATTTCAATTATTCCCTGTTTCCCAACACTTTGCTGAGGTTGAGAAGTGGTGAAAACCAACTTTCTTACCCCTCCTAGTGTCATTGCCAGTCCCTTTCCCTAAGGAGTGTGAATTTAAGAAGAGCTTTCTTTTTTCATTTTTTTTTTCTAAACGGGCATTTGCCATTCCAAAGTCCTTTCTCCAGTAATCTCTGAAAAACCCGATGCAAGATTTTGGGGTCGTTCACCCAAGACAGCTATGTCAGAAAAGAAGGGCCCTTCCTTCATTGTATGTGTTTCCTGGAGATAAAAGATCCTTTTGCTTATGAAATTACTACAAGCGTGTAAAGGAATAGGGCAATTAATAGCAATCAACTTGAACGTATTAATGGCAAATACGTCTGGATTCAATTTCCTCCACTGATAGGTTAAGTTGGCTGTGGGAAACACTTATAAGCCATTTGCTAAAGCTCACATGAATTAAAGATGCCAGGGGAATTTCCATATCGGGTTGATCGCTAATTAGTGAGCTGGAGGAAGGAAAATGTATGAGAAAGGCTTGGTTCTTAGGTGTTCAGCATCTCTCCTGAACAGGATTCACACTTCACGCCAAGTCATGCCTTGTACCAATAAAGGAGAATATTTGTAGCTGAGGGTTGAAATGAAGGGTCCTTGGTGGTTTCTGAGCTTGCAGACGTTTCATTACTAAAATAGGTAGCATCATCAGTGCTAGAAGGGAGTGGGGTTTGCTCTCAGTTTATATTTTAGGGCAGTGTTTCTCAACCTTGACAATTTTAAGGCATGTGGACTTCAACTCCCAGAATTCCACAGCCAGCATTGCTGGCTGTGGAATTCTGGGAGTTGAAGTCCACATGCCTTAAAATTGTCAAGGTTGAGAAACATTGTTTTAGGGGCTTGTCCTGGGGTGGTCTTAGAAGTTCTTTGCTCGGGCTGTTTACTGTTGGCTTCTTTGGCAGTTTCTTGATTGGGTCTTTAATTACTTGATTGTTGGCCTGATGTTAATCTTAGAGTTAATCTATGCTGATTTGGGTGCCGATTGCTAGTGGAGAGATGCTTGGATCTTTTTGTTCGCTTTTGGGCTGGGTGATTGTCCCTTTAGCATAGTCTATAGATATTGTGTATGCCTATATGTCTATTGATGGCTGATTTGTCAGAGTGCCAGGCTTCTAGAAATTCCCTGGTGTTTTTGGACTTGGCTTTTGGTAGGGAGTTCTATCCATAATTGATTTCCAGGATCTGCTGATACAGGTGGCTATGGATAAGTCAACTAGTTAGTATATTTCTTTATAAGCAGGAAGCTTGCTAGTTTGTTTTTTAAAAGCTGCTGCTCTTAGATAACACTAATTATATTAAGTGCAATATATTAGACTATAACTAAACTGCTTCTGATGCCCTGCGGGCTTATGGCATCCTTTTGAACTGTGTTTATTTGCCAAATGCATAAAATTTAACTTGAATTGTTTGGAATAGAGGTGATGACCACTATCAGACAAAAGATAATAGTTTTGGACTTTGCAATAGCAGTGGAATAAAGTCTACTACATGTAATTTTCTACTTAAAGAGCACACATAGGGAAAATTCAGATATTCTATTTCTGCCTTTACTCTTCATATTCCCGGTAACAAGAACTTGCTGTGAGCAGGAATATTAAATTGTGGCTGGCTATTTAGTATGAGCAAATTATGTTCTTTTGTCTATATGCAGTGAAGCTTTCAACTTTATTAGACAAGCTTTCACAGTAAGATAATGCACTTTTCAAATCGAAAAGAATTTTGCTTCTGCCGCTCTTCATATTTAATTTTTTGCTAAGTAAACATTTTTTTTTATTTCTCACAACCTGCATTCTTGCAGGATTTGGTTTGTGCATTCTACCTGAAATACAGATTGCTTTGCCCAATAGTGCAGAGTAATTCAGCTTTTGCTTCAACTTGGAATTTTTTCTGTTTCACATTTGAATGCCCTGTAATCTTCTAGGACAGTGGTTCTCAACCTGTGGGTCGGGACCCCATTTGGGGTCGAATGACCATTTCACGGGGGTCACCAAACCATGCTGTCTGCCATTTTTTTCCCTTTTCCCTAGCTGTCCTACTCCCTCTTATTGGTGGCCACACCCACTTGGGGGTCACCACAACATGGGGAACTGTATTATGGGGTCACGGCATTAGAAAGGTTGAAGATCACTGTTCTAGGATGCCTCAGGTTGCTTGCCAGCTGCTTGTTTTATAATTTAAGAACTCTTGATACCAATAGTCTTCGACTTAAAACGATTCGTTTAGTGGCCATTCAAAGTTACCATGGCATTGCCGCATCCCCAGGGTCACGTGATTTACATTTGGATGCTTGACAGCTGACTCCTATTTATGAAGGTTGGGGTGTCCCGGGATCACGTCTTCTTCCCCTTATGCAACTTTCTCACAAGTAAAGTCGATGGGGAAGCCAGATTCTCTTAATAACAGTGTGCCAACTTAACTGCAGTGATTCACTTAAGAACTGTGGCATGAAAGGACGTAAAATGGGGCAAAATTCATTTAACAACTGTCTCACGTAGCAATGGGAATATTGAGCTGAATCGTAAATCTTGCAGCTGATGAGAAATTCAACAGATGTCTGTCCTTTTCATATTGACCCTGCAGATTGACCCCCAGGGCAAGATTGAGTCCCCTTAATCAAGAAATACATTTAAAACACCATTTCTTGTTCAGAATCTCTGGCTGAACTCAGGAAAAGAAACCCTTACTCTCAATAAAACGAAGACATGCCTTCTGCTCATTTTCTTAATTAATTTCTGAGCTGATATAATTTTCAAGCTGTCCTTCCACATTTTTCTGAAATGACTGCTGACTCTGGTTTGAATAATTCCCGTGGATTGAGTCAATGGCACGCACACAGACACACACAGAATATAGGCACATGGACTTATGTCATGATTTTGGACAGTTTCCTCCATTTTTGCTGAACGCTCTTATCTTTTCTTGACATCTCAATATTGCATTTTCTGATGGTTATTTCTTGCTTGCGTTCGGAATGTGTTTTAGGCCTGAACCCATCTACGTTCATATAGTGCTCAAGATCCAGTCTTATTTTTTTCTTCTCGGTGAGAATGTTTTATTTTATTTTATTTTCTGTAAGGCTTGATGTGTTCTGGTGAGATGGTCTTCTGTGTTGTGAATCACCTGGACTAGTTCTGAGCGTGACGATATCTAAATAGGGATATATATTCAGAAGAAAAATCTCCGCTGAGTTTTAGGCTCACAAGTCAGGTTAGCAAGTTGAAAAGACATCCCGAAGCGACTGTCTGAATTTGGATCACGTGACCACAGGGTAACAAGTGTGAAAAATGCTGAGCCACTTTATGTAGTGATGTTGTAACTTGAAACGGTCACCAAATGAACTGTGGTAAGTTGGGGGCTACCTGTAAATTTGTTTATAAGACAGGCTAGGATTTGGAAAAGGAAAGGAAGATTCTGAAAACTATCGCTTTAGCCTGGGCTTAAGACTTTACAGGATTATAAATGCATTTGCACACCAGTTTAGGCTAGCCCAGGGGTAGGCAACCTCGGCTCTTTTATGACTCATGGACTTCAACTCCCAGAATTCCTGACTCAGGAATTCTGGGAGTTGACGTCCATGAGTCATAAAAGAGCCGAGGTTGCCTACCCCTGGGCTAGCCCCTCTCCTTTTTATGATCCCTGGCTTTAGGTTCCTCAAGAACAAAGTTGAATGTATGTGCCGGATGTTTATTAATAGGCAAAAATTTATCAGAACCAGAGCAGGAGGGCACATGTTTTAACTTGTGTTATCACATGCTTCTGTTTGCTTGAGATATAGCCTAAGAGGTTCAGGCCGACTTGCTCTGCTACCCTGGGGTTTGTTTACTCAGAAGTAAGCCAGCATGCAGGGTGGCTTTTTGCCAGATCAGCCGGCACAGAGCGGTACGTTCAGAAGGGAAGCTGGAATCCTTGTTGTATCTGTAAGCAGATGGTATCTGCAAAGCTGGTTTCCCACGTGGAAGGGAGGCTAGGCAGAGAAGAAACGCCATCAAAAGGAGCAGATCTGAAAGGTAATTTGGCTATCAAGCCTGTCATTTCATTAGCAGACTTTAGAACTGACATTTCCATTTAGGCCTCTAAATAAAGACTTCCACAATTCTTATTATATTCACTTGTAATAATCATGTGCAATCATCTGTCATTTAAACGTGCAAAGAGTCGGGCAGCCTAGTCAAGGCAATTCCTTCGTTTCCTGTCCATTTGGAGCTTTATCTGTTTTATTTTCATTTTTTGCTTATCCTCATTTGTCAGAGAAGAGGGAGAGATGTAGGTGAGGGTTGACTGTAAAAGCAAGAAAATGTATTGGCAGGCTACCAGGAAAGATTTGAAGGAGTCAGAATGTAAGCACTGCCTCCTGACCTTGACTGTCTTCTAGATCATGTCTAGTCTCTCTTCCTTTTTTTTAGCAAAATCTCAGGTTTTTAGGATTTTTAGTTTTATCGGATGCTTTAGTTGTTATGGATTGGTTTCCAAATTCTGAGATCACTAGTGTTTATGTCTAAATAGATTTCCGGAGCTCTACATGGCGTGTTTAGCCAGCAGGTTTTAAATTATATTTCACTGTTCATTTGAAAAAGAAGGAAACGGCACAAAACACGTACATTAAAGCTAAACCTAGGTATTTACACCCATTAGTCGAAAGCGAGCTCACATTACAAGAAAAAGGAAAGGGAAATTAATCGGATAAAATAGTATCTGCAAATGTCTGAAGTGTTCCTTTCAATGAGTAGAAAATAAGAAGTGTGATCTTGAGACCTTTGTATAAATGACAGAATGAACATCCCTCCAGCTACGTTTTATCAATCCTGTTATGTACACACACCATGACAGCGTGTAATAGCCATTACTATTATCTACCTGTTAATTTAAGAGTACACATTGGCTCAAACCAGAGACTTCCACCATAAGGTTGACATGTGAAATGATTCCACCCCAAAGGAATTCCTTACGGTACTTCCCTGGACATTTTTAAGCACCCCTGGAACCCATACTTCTCTCTCAAAATGTTCATTAGCATACAGTATACATTTTGATTCGATCAGTAGCAGTAGAGGAGGACTACCTGTATGACACATAGATAACCAACAGTTTTCCATTGATATTCTTTTATATCAGGGGTCTTCAAACTTGGCCCTTTGATGACTTGTGGACTTCAACTCCCAGAATTCCTCAGCCAGGCACACGTGCCTGCCTGAGGAATTCTGGGAGTTGAAGTCCACAAGTCATCAAAGGGCCAAGTTTGAAGACCCCTGCTTTACTTGTTGGGTCAGAGAAGAAGAAAGCCGTAAGGTTCACACCAGGGAAATACTAGTGCTGATGTGTGCACTAAGCTAACATTGGGAAGTTTCCCAACTTCCATTTCTTGCCCTTAGCTCATTTGTACCCACTCGGCAAACAGCAAGAACAATTTGATCAAGAAACTAGATCTCAGGGCATTGTCCGACCCAGAGATCTTAGTTTGTTGGGGAGCAACAAACCAGGAGACCCAAGTTGGATTTAGATACCAGCCCTGAGCTTTTGAGTAAATTGGGATCCCCTAGTATGGTTGCTAAGCAAGGCAGTTGTTAAGTGAGTTCTGTCCCATTTTACGAAGGTTTTTGCCATGGTCATTAAGCAAATCACTATGGTTAAGTGAATCATGCAGTCATTAAGTGAATCTGGCTTCCCCCGTTAACTGCTTGTCAGAAGATCCCAAGGATGATTGCAAATGAGAATCCCAGGATGCCATCGTAAATACATGCCAAGAACCTGAGGTTTGATGCCTTGACTTGTGGGGATGCTGCAATGGTCATAAGTATGAGAACTGGTCATAAGTCTCTTTTTTTCAGTGCCATTGTAACTTTGAACTGCCATTAAGTAAGTCGAGAACTACATATATTGACCAGTACCAAGATTAGGAGATTAAGTCAGAAGTAGCCCTTTAATTCTACAGCTTAAATGTTGGTTTAGGATGAAGCTTATTCACAAGCAAGGAGTTGATGAAGTTTAATTACAGGGTAATATTTTGTCCTTTCAGCTATTTTTGCTGTGACATACCCGACAATCTGAAGAGCATCTGAAATTTTATCAAAGGAGTTTATTATTAATAGGTAAGTTTATATAGATCCTTAATGCCCAGCAATGTTTTCCTTTTCCAGAATTGCATTTTTTTTAAAAAAATCCTGCTAATTATTTTGCATCCCTTTGTTGCCAGTTGCTTATTTTGTTTAACTTTCTGTGTATTTATTTATTTTTAATTGTTAAATTCTGCCTGTAGACTATAGTGGAAGTGTGATGAAAGGGCACAATAAAAATAAATAAATAGTGTCCTTAACCTTTCAAATATTTGTGCTGAATTGTTCAATGGTATTTAGTACTAGCACTTAGACTTATGTACCGCTTCACAGTGCTTTACAGCCTTCTCTAAGCGGTTTACAGAGTCAGCCTCTTGCCCCCATCATTTGGGTCCTCCTTTTACTGACCTCAGAAGGTTGGAAGGCTGAGTCAACCTTGAGCTGGTCAGGATCAAACTCCTGGTTGTGGGCAGAGTCAGCCTGCAATACTGCATTCTAACCACTGCATCACCAGGGCTCATATAGCAGTAGAATGTGAATATTGCCATCGTATTTTCTTTGCGGCTATATGTGGGTTTTCTGAACTATTTCAAAAGGGTATCTCTCTCTCCTCCTTTTCTTCCAGCACTTATTTATCCACAAATTGTGCATTTTTTATATGATTAGGAAAGCAGCAATCTGGACCAGTGATTAATTCTTCCCCTTTTGCTCCTTAACCAAACCAGTTTTGTGTGGAACCTTGATTTCATTAAGTCCCTAATTAGGGAAGATCCATAGACTATGCATATAAATCTCTCTCTCCTTCCATCCTGTCTCTTACTCAGCAGCTGACCTGAATTTCTCCCTGGCCTTGAATTTTTTATCCCATCTTTATTATTTTTATTCTCCTTCCTCCTCCTGTTTTCCCTACAAGAACCACCCTGTGAGGTGAGTTGGGCTGAGAGAGAGAGGGATTGGCCCAAAATCACCAGCCGGCTTTCGTGCCTAAGGCAGGACTAGAACTCACTGTCTCCTGGAGATTGGCCCAAAATTATCCTGCTGGCTTTTGTGCCTAAGCACTAAGCCAAAATCCAACAAGCTACACTTTACCATCTTCAGGAAACCAGATCAGAAACTTCAAAAAAAGGAATGTTATTGGAACTCATCCTTTCACTGAACACTTCCTAAGTCTGAAATATAAAACTAATGACCCACCTGTAAAACGACTGTCTTTGGGTTGACTTTGCTTTCTGATGTCATATTAAACAACAGTATTCGTGATTCCCAGTTGTGACTTTGCTGACTTGTCGATTCAGATCTCTACACCCATGTTAGAAGTGTGGTATCAGCAACATTAAAATTAAATGGAACATTACAGTAGTTGGACTTAATTAATAAATGTATTGTCCAGAATGCAAGGAGCTGTTTTAGGTGTGCCCAGGAAATGAAATGCATTTTGTTTTTACTTTTAGCCTTTGAACAGCAGACTCCTATACTGTGTGGCATTTGACCACCAAAAAGATTTAAAATGGAATTCCTTCATAGCAGAGGAGACAGTTGACAAACAAGTCAGATCTGTGGTTGAATAAATTATCATCACGCTTTAAAGGCATTATGCAAATCATTTTCTCAGAACAGGTCCAGTGAGTCAGATTCAAATTTGAACTGTGGGTTTTTAAAATTTTGATTTTTTTTTTAACTTAAGATTATATGTTAATTTTAAGGATGTCTTGCTCCTTTTGTTATACATAGCCACTTTGGCAAGAGTCTGGAGTTGAAATGTAGTCTATAAATATTTTAAACAAAACATAATGCAGTTGGTAATGTCTGCCTCTAAATTTTATCACTAGAATTCTACATATGTCTTTTTTGATCTCTCTAGTATTTCTAGAGAGTATTTCTAGATATTCTAGTATTTCTGATATTGTAATATTTATTGGCAAATAATAAATGTATTGCTCTCAATATCCACCCTATAATTTTGTCTTCCAGATCTTTCCACGATATATAGCGCTGCAGAACTTGAAAGCAAGGGTGAGGACCTTGCCTTGCACCTCAGCTCTGTCATGGTACGTGCACAAGTCCTCTAGGACTGAGTAAAAGGAAAGAGGGCAGAAGCCCAGGAATGCTAAGTGTGGCAACCTTTAGTTCTTTACAGCAATCTTTCAAAGTTTGATTGTGCTAAACCAGTGTTTCTCACCTTTGGCAACTTGAAGCTGGGTGGATTTTAACTCTCAAAATTCTGGGGAATTCTGGGAGTTGAAGCCCACCCACCCACCTTCAAGTTGCTAAGGTTGAAAAACCCTGTGCTAAACAATTTTAACTCCTTCAGGAGATCATTTTGATACTAGCAAAAATCAATTAGCTTCACTCTGTCCTGTTGAGATCATATAGAAATTTAGGTTCTAACGAAAGAAGTGAGTTGGGGATTTAAATTGGTCATTGCTATCCCTGGAAGCCTCATCCAGATGAAGCTGCTTCATCTCTCTTTTTGTTTTACCTGGACGGACAAAAAAAACTATTGCATGTGCCTCTGAATCCTCGTTTCCAATTCACAGAGGGGAAAAAAAAGGTGTTCAGTACAACGAGAGATGCTTCCAGAATTTCTGGTAGAAAAATAAACCGCATCGTTAGTGCAGCTAAAGCCCTGGACTTGACTGGCTTCACACAGCACACTAAGTTGTAGTGTAATCATTGCTTGTTGAGGAAACCACCACTAGCTGGGCTTGATATCTCTTGCTAAGGCTTAGTGTAGAAGGTTTAGAGCAGGGATGTCCAATCTGGGTAACTTTTAAGACCTATGGACTTCAGCTCCAGAATTGGGTCTGGTTTCGTGCGCTGCCTGCATCCCATGGATGGGGCTTTGCTTGTTTGCACAGACCGGTTTCTTGCATGCCATGGACTGTTGGCGATCCACAGATTGGGGACCCCTGGACTAGAAGACCCCCAAAGTCCTTTCCAACTGTGACACTTTATGAAGAAGCTTCTTGGATGAGAAGCGAAACGTCTTCCAAGAAAAACAGTTGCCTCTTGAAAAAACAAACACCTTTGAGACTGGATACTTTATATTCTGGGTTCTCAAAGGTTTGACAGAGGAACAGAGTTTCAGAATGTGATGACTAAGGATGAATCTTTGTGATTATTCAGGTGGTAGAAAAATGTTACTAGCATGTACAAGTCTATTGGCATGAACACAATCCTTGGCTTGACTTCTCAACTTAATAATTCGCAGGATGAAGAGACTCATCACAGCCTTGAATGCATCCAAGCTAATCAGATCGTCCCCAGGAAGCAGTTGATCCGGGAGGATGAAAATCTCCAGGTGAACCCTGGATTCGCCTTTGATCTTGCAGTGGGACCCAGGGGCTGTGGGATTTAGTCTAGATTAGACACAGAACTTTGGGTGCCTTGCTTAGCAATGGAAAACAGGCTCGAGTGCAGTCGTAAATTGAGGACTACCCATATTGATAATCAGGTGGGTCCTGGAGCTAGTCGGAGGCCAAGGACAAAGTATTTGGACCATTTGAGGCCCACGGGCGCCACGTTGCAGATCAGCCCTGCTCCTTACAGCCTCTGCAGCAGCATCTAGTTTGCCAAGACACACAGGACTATGGGGTCAGGTGCCAGCTTACATAGAAATGCCCCTGCCCCTTGGGTTCCTGTTTCAGAACCGTGAAACCCCGCTGTAGGAAGTGTTTGTGCAGACACACACAGTTGTACATTTTGTGGTTTCACCGTTGCCATCTTTCTGAAACGAATCTTTCCACTGTCTCTGCAGGTACCCTTTCTTGAACTCCATGGGGAGAGCACCGAGTATGTGGGCCGAGCGGATGACGCGGTCATTGCCCTGTCCAACTACAGGCTTCACATCAAATTTAAGGAGTCTGTGGTGAACGTAAGTTGTCTCTTCCAAACCGGAAACTTGCTGGCGATGGAAGCCGGAGCTGCACCCATAGGCCTTCCGTTCAAAACTGAAAATATCTGAAAAGCCAGCTGGTTTGTCTCCCCTGTGATATTTTGGGCAACCTCTATCATTGGTGGCATTTCAGTTCCTCGCCTGCCAACTCTAGTGTCTCCTGGTTGTGTGTACCAGTGCAGACAGGCATGTGGAATTTCAATTGATCTTACAGGTTCTTGTTCAAAACGGCTGGTTGAGAACAAGGAGAGCAAAACTGTTGCACTTTATTATTATTTTAAAATCCTCATGCATATTCTGCTGCGGAAGTGTGTGAGTCCCTAGTCAGCTGGCAAGTTAGAACACCTCTCGTCCTCGCAGCTGCGCACCTAACAAAAGTTTGCTCTTGTTTCTCTCCCATCACAAAGCTCTGACTCATCCCAAAGCTATGACAGGGAGGCGAAATAGAATTAGAATTTATTCAGATCTTTAACTCAGGCCTTGATGCTAATCAATCCCCAACTTCATTGTTCAAGTGGAGCTGTTGAAACATTGCAAGCAGGCTGTGAAGTTCTGCCCTGGCCAAAGCCAATCCTCAAAGTCTCAGGAAGGGTCCAAAACCTGGACAATCTTCCTTCATAGCAATAGCAGATTTATATACCGCTTCACGGTGCTCTTACGGCCCTCTCTAAGCAGTTTGCAGAGTCGGCAATTTGCCCCCAACAATCTGGGTCCTCGTTTTACCAACCTCAGAAGGATGGAAGTCTGAGTCAACCTTGAGCTGGTCAGGATCCTGCTTTGAGCCATCCTCTTCCCTCCTCACCTGCAGCCCCCTACCTGTCATTTCTGGGTTGCTTGGCCTGTTCCCTAAAATTGTCCTAAATTGCATCAATCTCCTTCCTTTATATTTGCAGAATGCTGGTAGGATGGGTGTGAGACTCAGAAGCCTTTTTTGGGGGGGGAAATAAAACTGATGCTGGAGATTGGCTCTTTACTGTGTAGCAGGCCTGACAAACATTTTATTAACCTGTTTTAAATGAAGAGATTTAAAAAAACAACAAAAAAAGGGAAATTTCAAGCAAGGCAGGAGTCCTGGCAGATGGCCAGACAGGTCTTTGTAGAGATTTTGGGAGCCTGAGCTGCCATCTTGGGAGCCTTTGATCTGCTGAAACAAAATAATTGCATTCATTCATTTTAGATTTTTATTTTAGTTTTTTTTTATCCCGCTTTTTATTATTTTTTTATAAATAACCCAAGGTGGTGAAAATACCTAATACTCTTTCCACCTCCTACTTTATCCACAACAATATCCCTGTGAGATGGACTGGGTTGAAAGAGAAGGATTGGTTCAAAATCACCCACCTGACTTTCATGCCTAAGGCAGGACTAGAACTCACTGTCTCCTGGTTTCTAGCCCCGTTCTTTAACCACTATACCAAACTGCCTCTAAATCTATATAGCTCTGGTTTATATCTTAATATTAAACCATGTTTTGGCAGTTTTTTTCTAGATCCCACCTTTCATGGCCTGCCTTCACATGATCAGCCATAACCCAAACTTAGCTATAATCTTCCCCCCCTCTTAAAATGGTCTAGGGTTTCCTGCCTAAGCAGAGGGTCTGACTAGAAGACCCCTAAGATCCACATATAGGACCCTTGTGCTAACCCGATGATGTAGAATACTATAATTAAACAGAAATACGTCCGTGTTAAGCGTTGGCCATTCCTCTCTCTTTCGTACGCAGCTGCGAGTTTATTTTCATTTTAGCTGATTCTTGTCTTTGATGTGCAGCTAGCCAGTTGCAAAATTAATCTCCCAGAGAACAAAAATGTTGTTTGTTTAGGAATTGACAGCATTCTAAATAAAGAATGCAATTGCGGCTGACATGAAAGTGAGTTATTGCTTGGCTATGCAAGAGCGAGTGCTTGGAATGGGTACCATCTCAGACAGTTACGTAATATTAAATGAATTAATACTTTAATATTGCATGGGAATTACTGCAATGAGAAACCTCAGACAGCTACAGCAGAAGATAGTTCTCTAGCACTGGAGACGTAGAATCCACCAATGGGTTAACTCTGCCTTCCTGATAAGTCTTAAAGTTGCCAAGTTTGAAGGCCCTGGACTAGAAGCCCAGGCTGATTTTTTTTCAGTTGGGTAAAAGAGGGAGGGAAGATAAAACCAGAAGACTTGCAATATTCTGTTGCTACACCCTATCTTAGCATTTCTCAGACCCAGCAACTTTAAGATGTGGATTTCAACTCCCAGAATCCCCCAGCCACATCTTAAAAGTTTCTGAGATTGAGCAGCACTGGGCTATTTCAATAAAGCATAGTTACCGCCCAGCTGTGGAGTTGCTTCATCTAGCCTATCTTAACAGAGGTGACGGATGAACATTACAATCCATTTCCTAACCGAGAAAAATGGTTAAGGAATTAAACTATCTGCCTAGAACAGGAGGGTACCCTCCCCTACTGGGGCTATTTAAATACGGCTGGGGAGCCATCTAGGAAGACTTCTTGCACTGAGCAGGGAATTACTTCAAATGATCTCTCTGGTCCCTTCTGACTCTTGCATTTTGCAGTTTTATAATGTTTTGATTCTAAGTAGTGCAGCTGCAATGTTCAGTACTCTGGAGAGCTCTTCTCCCCCTTTTTATTATTTTTTTTATCAGTGGAGTTAACAAGTGAAATCCTTATTAGGTATGATTATCTTGGTTAGCTTTTATCTCACAGCTTCATTGAAAATGGACCCCCTGACTCTCTCCTTGTCGGTTAGATAGTGTCTCTAGTGCAGTGAGCATGCATTTGGGCAAACTCCAGGAGATACTGGAGAACAGAGGAGCCTGGTGTGCTGTGGTCCATGAGATCGCAAAGAGTCAGACATGACGTAACAACTGAACAACAAAAACAACTCTCTTCTTGTAATGCTGGATTCTGAACACCTTGTCCAGGCAAAAATTAGTCACCCCAAATTCATTTCAGGAAATCCTCAGTTTAACCAACCTTGCTTTAGCAGACTGCCACGGGAAAAACATCTCCCTATGATGTGTTCTTTTCTGGATGCATCAGTTCTCCTTCGTAAGCATAAAAGGTATGAACACGTGTGACATCCCATTCTGCTTTAATAGACACTGCTTCTCTCCAATTAGGATATAAGGTTTAACGGGCCCAGTGTTCCATCTGAGTTTGTTAGTGATCTAGCCGATGTAGGTTTATATCCCACGGCCTTTGATTTCTCGCCTAATTTTGTTCTTTCTTTGCAATTCATTAGAATGTCTGTAAATTTGCTGCTTATGAGATCTCAGTAAGTAGAACGTTGCTGTTTAGCATTTGTACTGCCGCACCTTTGCTTGGAATACAGTGAACATGTGCTGACCGTGGCTTGCAGCATAGGCAGGCGTGCATGGATCATGTCAGAGCATGAAGCTCCCTCCTGTATAAATAAATACCTCGATAAAGGATTCAGTCGACAGATTGGCCAACTCATGGAATGATGGCTTCTCTAAAGTATTGACACACCCATCTTTTGGAAGCAGCTGCATATTCAACAGGGACGCTTTATGCCTGCATGAAATTTAAGAGGCTTCTTTTGATTGTCTAAAAGTTATGCATTTGAACTGGGTTTGATCCTAAGCAAGTCCTGGATACGGTTCACAAAGTTCCAAGGCTTTAGAGTTGAAGTTTAATTAGGCCAATTGGTCTTTCTTCTCCCATTTGGTTTAATTTTGCATCGTTTAATTCCCTTACTCGTGTATTTTCCTCCAAAGTGGCCCTTCCCAGCCACAGTCCGCAGTGAGTTCAGAAGCTTCTAATGTCTTTAGGAGATTGGTTATTTAATTACAGGCGATCCACATTCCTAGAGATTGTCCTCTGTGAAATGCCAGGGGTAAGCTTGGCTAGTCCTGCATGCTCATTCATAACCAGTAAGGTAATTGGCACGTAGGTCCCAGTCTTAACGTTGGGAGGAAGCGACCTTACGAAGAGCAGAGAAAAGGGATCAGGAATAGCAAGTCAAAGAAATTAAAGGGGTAAGATAAGACAAAGAAAAGGGAAAGAGAATTCGATGGAGTTTGCACCACTATCATTGCCTATTCTTTTCCGGTAGCTTTTTGCCAAATCTTCCTAACTTCTGCCACACCCATCATACCTTTTGGTTCATTAATCCCACCTCTCTCTTTTGGAGGACCTTGTCAGCGTCATCCAGGGATGACTTTAGGAGAGGTCCTTGGTGCTCTCTGAGCTTAGTTGCTTTCTTGCAGATGTTTTGTTACCTAAACCATGGGCCCCCAATCCCTGGTCCATGGACCGGCACCAGAAACCGGGCCGTGCGCACAAGCGAAGTGTGATCCTCAGGATGCAGGGAGCACGTGAAATGATGCCCCCTCTTATCCACGGATAAATCTCTCTCCACGGAACTGTCCCTGGTGCTCAAAAGGTTGGGGGCCACTGACCTAAAGCAGGTCACATGATCAGCTCAGAAGACCCCTCATTTCAACCCTGAGCTACACACGTTCTCCTTTATAGGGATGACTTTCTTAGTTTTCCCCTTCCTCGTGTCCCCTTCTGTTTTAGTTTGTGGTTTTGTCTTCCTTCTTTCTCTCACTTTGAACACACCACCTCCATTCTCACTCGTGCTTTCATCCCGTCGTACAACCCACTTTGAGGTTCATGTTGGCAGCAAACATCCCACAATCCCAGCGTATTCTCTTCATGATAACCTTCCTTCAAATCATCAAACGTGCGTTTCAATTCCACTCTTTGACATTTCTCTGTCATTCCCATTAAAATTTCTAAAATAGTCCTTCCTGCTCACTTTTATCCTGGCCTACATTTCTTTTTATTCTTCTTATTGTTGTTTTGCTTTTCTCCTGGAAGTTCCTCTTTTCCCCTTTCCCTGTTTCCAAAGGATTTATATTTTCCCCCCTCTAAACAGCGGATTCATTATTTTATTAAACATTGCATTTTGCTAACAAATTCAGCAAACGGTTATCGGAGGCTGGCACTAATTATTTACCTGCATGATGTGTTTTGATTTGGGGTGATTTTCAACATGAAGATTGCTCGGGGAATGGATATAATGCTTGGCAAAAAGGCAGGCTGCAAAGGAGCATGAGATGCCTTTGCTAAAGAGCAAATTCACTATTGTTTATGGGGAGTTGTGCATAAAGGAAATTGTTCAGAAGGAAGGAAAGTGAAATGGAGACATTAGGTCTACCTAATTCATCTGTTTTAACCGAAGTTATGAATGTGGAGAGTGGCCTTCCTCTCAGAATCAGTTAAATTGGCGCTGGTCCTGAAGCCATCGTTCAATGAAGCCACAGTAACCTACGTGAGCCTGGCCACACTTTTAAGTCTTTGGGGGAGCCCCATCACATATCTTTGGAGAAGTCAAGCCAGACTTTTGAATATGGGGAAGTTTTGCAAGCACTGTCTCAATTTCTAAAACGCTGCGTCACTTGATCAAGTGCACTTGGGCATTCTTAGAGTTCTCCGAGTAATTTTAAAGGTTAGCGAAACGAGAGCTGCTGAAGAAAGAAAATTGTTGGTTGCAAAGGCGCCTCCTCTCCAGTCTGATGGCAAATGGTGAGGCTGCAGAGGTTACCTGCATGTGGTAATACATTTTATACCAACTGCCTGCAAATTATTCTAACCTTTTGGCTGCAAAGGAGACCAACAGACACGAAGAAAGAATCTGGAACTAAGGAGAAACTTCCTGTCAGTGAGAACAATTAATTAGTGGAACGGAAATTGCCTCCGTCGCTGGAGGTTTTTGAGAAGAGACTGGACAGCCACTTGTCTGGAATGATAGAGGGTCTCCTGCTTGGGCACGGGGTCAGACTAGAAGACCTCCAAGGTTCCTTCCAATCCTATGATTCTGTGTTCTAAATTAAACCCTGGCTTCACAGGGCAGTTCAGATAACGGGCTTTTGCATAGAAAATCTCTTATTGTTGTTTTTTTTTTTTATCTTAGTGTGATCTGTGTAAAAGGGAGCATAGTGCCCCCTCCACGTTTGAGAGACATGTACTAAAAGATTTGGAGCTTTATAGTAAAATTGACACAGCCCCATTTCACCAAGGCAGATTTTAGATCAAAATGAGAAGTACGTCCGCATGCCACATTATACTGTCACTTCATGATTTTAACCTCGGATGCTTGCATAATAATGGGAGGGAAATGCTATCAGTAATTGGCAGTGTGAGTAATGTTTCATTCCAGGGGTTCAGTTGTTTAACAAATCCTTGTGAAAAAATGGTGTTAGCCTTTTGGAGTAAGACTATTTATTGATTAATTTATTTGGAAAATTTATATTGCCGCCATCTCGTTCAAGGCGACATACAGGAAATAAAAACACAACATAAAAGAAATAAAAATAAAATAAAATAATGTACAATAATAATAACAACAACACCCCATCCTGGTGACAACACACACTCATGCCAGCCATTCATGGGCTCCGTCCTGCTCCGGGTTCCCCAGGCCCGCTAGCAGAACCTCGTTTTCAGGGCTTTCCGGAAGAGTGTCAGAGTGGAGGCCGCTCTCATTTCCGGAGGAATGATGTTCCAGAGGGAGGGAGCCCTTTTTCTGGGTCCCCCCAGGTGGACCTCCTTAGGGGACACAACATTCCTTGCCTCCCTGCTCTAGTGGGGAGACGGTCCCTCAGATAACCTCTTACTGTCTTTTTCGTCACAGGTCCCGTTGCAGCTCATAGAAAGTGTGGAATGCCGGGATATTTTCCAGCTTCACTTGACCTGCAAAGATTGCAAAGTTATCCGGTATGTACGGTCCAAACACAGGCCGTAATTCATGTTAGTTAATGCAAGTGTGGCTTTCCCCTCCCTAAAATAAATAAATATAATTGCCTTTTGAATCATTACACATTGGCCTTTAATGGCCCGGTTTCCTCCCGGCTCTAGACTTGGTGGTGCCAGCCAAATACTGGCAGAATAATCTCAAAAACGTTTTTAGTTTACCACTGGACGGCATTGGAATATCAGAAATAACGATACTGATAGAGCTGGAAAGGGACCTTGGAGGTCTTCTAGCCCAGCCCCCTGCTTTCGTTGGCTTTTGCGTGGATTGTTTCTTTGTTTTTTTGCAGGTGCCAATTCTGTACTTTTGAGCAGTGTCAAGAGTGGCTGAAGCGGCTGAACAACGCCATCCGGCCCCCCTCCAGGATAGAGGACCTTTTCTCCTTTGCGTACCATGCCTGGTGTATGGAGGTATACGCGAGTGAGAAGGAGCAGCATGGGGATTTGTGCCGCCCAGGTACATTTGCTCTTTTGCTTGCATAGGACTAGAACCTTTTTTCTTTTAACAACAAGCATTACCTAGTACACTACAGGCGGTCCTCGACTTAGCAACCATTCGTTTGGCAGCCATTCAGAGTTACAATGGCACCAGAAAAAAGTGACTTATGGCCAATCCTCACACTTACAACCATTGCAGCATCCCAGTGGCCACGGGATCAAAATTCAGGTGCTTGGTGGGGTCATGTGATCATCATTTGCTCATGGCCAGCTGGGGAATTCTGGGAGTTGTAGTCCAGAGGTCTTAAATAGTAACAGCACTTTGACTTATATAGCGCTTCACCATGCTTTACAGCCCTCTCTAAGCAGCTTACAGAGGCAGCATCTTGCTCCCCCCCCCAACAATCTGGGTCCTGATTTTACTGACCTCAGAAGGACGGAAGGCTGAGTCAACCTTGAGCCGGTCAGGATCGAACTCCTGGCAGTCGGCAGCATTAGCCTGCAATTCTGAATTCTAACCACTGCGCCAGCGCACGGCTCCTAAAGCCAAAGTTGCCAAGATTGGACACCCCTGGTATAAAGGAACTCTTGAAGTACCACGGTGGAGTTGATGACTCTTGGAAGATAGCCTTGTGCACGAGGTCAAATGAGGGTTTTTGACCTTGTGGAGCGTCCTGCGTAGATGCAAGGTTGGCATTGGCATTGTGCTTCCTATGTGGCATCATCACATGCCAGGAATTGTTCCCCTTCACTTCAATAGAGCAAATAAGATGCTTGGATGTTTTGTCTTTACAGCAGGGATGTCCAACTTTGTCAGTTTTAAGACTTACAGACTTCCAATTCTCAGAATTCAGCTTTCAGAATTCTGGGAGTTGAAGTCCACCAGTCTTAAAAGTTGTCATGGTTGGACCTCCCTGCTTTGCAGAGATTGGCGTTTGCTCTTACGCAGGATTCACAAGCTTTTCAAACTTCTGAATAGACTTGTGAGTGAAGAGGAGTCAAGGAATGCTCTGCTATTGTTCGGTCACGGGGGAGTATCTCACTCCACTAACCCAGGCACAGTTCCTGTTTGCTTCCCGTTGTCCTTCTGCTATCTAGGAGAGCACGTGACGTCGAGATTCAAAAACGAGGTGGAGCGGATGGGTTTTGACATGAACAATGCCTGGCGGATCTCCAACATCAACGAGAAGTACAAGTAAGCTCTTTAGATGTTCACAGAGGCCATCTGCTCTTGTTCAAGTCCAGCACTTCGGGGTATTTCAGCTGTACGTGGACCCGGCTATGAACACATGCCAACGCCACTCATTATTTGAAGCAACTTGACATTTTTGGAACAGCTTTAAAGTCTCCAAAGGAAGATCGAAGGAACCTGACACTCAGTTGTTGCTGTTCTGTCAAGCTTTTGTAAGCTGATCCATGAAAGATGGACACAACTGTCACTCTATTCTTTCTGGTCTCCAAAAGCTGGAATTCTGACACCAGCTACATCGTACGAGTCCGCCTTTGGCTTCTAGCTGTCATATGGCTTGTTTTGTTTCAATACATAACAAGAGCCCAGCCGTGAGTTACGGCTCACTGTAATTCTAGTCAATAAATTCTAGCTAAGAAATTGCTATTGTACCACAGCTAAAACCAGAAAATATAACCCCTTTTTTCCAAATGGAAGCTGCATGCCGAGATTGAGGAAGTGAGGCTCTAAAGACTGTGGGATAGGAAGGAAAAGTTTAGGGTTGTTTATTTTTTTTATGATCATCTATTTATTGAGAAAGAGAAGGAGCCAGTTTGGTCTAGTGATAAGACACCAGGAGACGGTGAGTTCAAGTCTTACCTTAGGCATGAAAGCAGGGTGGCTGACTGGATCAATCATGCCTTTGCCAATGAAAGATAGTTGGGTGACCTTGGGCCAATCCTCAGGAGACTCTGAGTTCTAGTCCTGCCTGAAGACGGGAAAGCCAGCTGGGTGACTTTAGGCCAATCACCTTGAGAGTTTGAGTCCCGCCTTAGCGGGACATTTACCCCTTTTTCTTCTTAATTTCTAGTGGTGCAAATTTAGCCTTAATTTACAAAAAAGAAAAGAAAAAAAGAAAGCACTTGCTAGATGAACCAGCGAGGCTCACGCCGTGCCTTCTGTTACAGTTGAATGTGCACATTGTGTTTTTATATTTGAAACCGATCGCTGTGTTTTAAAGCCTAACTGGCAAAAAATAATCTGGGGGGAAAAAAGAAGAAGCAAAAGGTGGCTGGATCCGTCCTCCATACCTTACAAAGTTTGACGCTGAACATTGATGGATGTGCACAAGCCTCTCTTGCTCTAGCCCAAAAACAAAACGGGGGGGGGGGTTTAAAAAGCCGCTGAGTTTTACTGTTTATCTGCGTTTCCCCTTGCTGCTGTTTCACGGGGGCAGCAGCGTGGAAGGAGAGACGGGATGTGTCTGCTCCTCCACCTGTGGCTGGTCTCTTCTCTTCCACACAGGCTCTGCAGTAGCTACCCTCAAGAACTCATAGTGCCGGTCTGGATAACGGACAAAGAGCTGGAAAGTGTGGCCAATTTCCGATCTTGGAAACGCATCCCTGTGGTGGTTTACAGGTGAGGCTTTCCTGAGGCAGCTTCCTGGCATCCAGAGGATCGGATTTTTCAGGTCGGTTTGCTAAATCTCAGAGAGACTTTTGGCAGATCCCCGTTGCTGTCTAAAGTGTACCTCTTTTGAGGATAGAAGGGAGGATATTGATAGAGCCCTTTGTTTAGGGATTGTTTGAAGTTACGACAGCACTGAAAAAAGTGATTTATGATTGGTTGGGGTTTTTTTTTTTTCTACTTAACAACCCTTACAGCACCCCCAGGGTCCCTTGATCAAAATTCAGACACTTCCGGCAATTGGATCAGATTTATGACAGTTGCAAGGTCATCTGATCCCCTTTTGGGAATCCAGATTCACCTAACAACTGCAGTAAACCTCAGCAGGTTTCGTGAACTCTAGATGAGTCCCTGGTTCTCTTGTTTTTGAACAAAAGGCAGGTCCAAACTGCTGACATTGCTAATCAGCATTAGCTGACAAGCTCTAGATACCTCCGTGTCACGCTCCTCTGCCAAAGCTGATTCAGGTTTTAGTTTTAGTTTTTCTTTCTCTTTGCATACTTTTTAAATTTTTTATTACTGGGCTGTTCGTTGGTAGTTTTTTTCCTCCCCGAAAAACAAGCAAACTCTGATCCTCCTAGGTATTCAGATATGTTTACCAATTGGAGGACTTTGCAGCGTGTTTCTTCCCCAGGGTCCACAAAACTGCTTAAATCCCAGTGGAGATTAATTTGTGCATTTTATCACAGTGGGGGCCGATATGGAGAGTTGTTTCACAGGCCGTCAAGTTATTAGACAAACTTTTAAACTGCCTTTGGAATTTTTTCAGAGAGCTTCCTAAGGCTCTAAGTGCCTTTTTCCTCCCCTGTGGCAGTTGCTTCCTGTTATGTGCACATACGACCTGCAGTTAATTCCTGTTTCAACGGCACTGGGATGATTTTTGTTTCCACGCAGGCACCAGAACAACGGGGCAGTCATTTCTCGCTGTGGGCAGCCCGAGGTCAGCTGGTGGGGCTGGAGAAACGCCGACGACGAACATCTTGTCCAGTCAGTGGCCAAAGCCTGTGCCTCCGATTCCAAGTCGAGCAGCGGTAAACTTATGAATGGGAACTGCTCACGAGAGTTCTCCAATGGGGGAGACGTTTCTGATGCAGAGTTTGGTAAGCTTGCTTTGGTAACCTCGCTTTGTGTCCAAAAGGTTAGCTGTCTACGGAATGCAGATGGCCAACATCCACTGAGATCAGCCTTTCCAGGTAGGCCAGACAGGAAACTCGGCCGGAGGAGCTGTTTAGCAGTAGCAACAGCACTTAGACTTATATACCTCTTCACTGTGCTTTCCAGCCCTCTCTAAGCAGTTTACAGAGTCAGCATTATGGTCCCCAACAATCTTGGTCCTCATTTTACCGACCTCGGAAAATTGGAAGGCTGAGTCAACCTTGAGCTGTTGAGAGTTGAACTGTTAGCAGTTAGCAAAGTTAGCCTGCAAATACTGCATTCTAGCCACTGCGCCCCCAGGGCTCTAACTTTCTATTTGTATTGTAAAGTGACATGAAAAGAATCTTGCAAGTGTGGAGGTGCAGATCTCCCACCATCCCTTTGACAGCCTGATAAGCTGGGAGAGTTCCTTTGTGAGTTTCTTTCTCTGCCCGTCATTATCCAGTCTTTCTCTAGGCAGCATCTCTCTTTTCCACCTTTCCCACATACTTTTGGGAGAGCAGTTGGCTAAGTTGGGCCTCAAGCTTGGAATTAGCCTATATTCACTACATAAACACAGGGGGGCAAGATCTGACCACCCACCCACTGTCTTTGAGCCTTACTTAGTCTTTCCTAGGTGCAAGCTGCCAGTCTGGGGAGATTCCTGTATTATTGGCACTAAGCAATAAAGTGGCTAGCTTGAGCTATGGGCGTCTGGATATTTCTGCAAATATCATAGAGCTGCTTCTCCTGTCTGCAATATAAGACAGACTTTCCAAATTAGCCGGACTGTCACTCCTTTTGTTAAACTGGCCAGGAACTCTGGAAATAGCAGCTGTGCACATCTGGAGGACTATAAGGCAGTGTTTTATGACCTCAGCAACTTTAAATGGGGGATTGAAGTCCACCCATCTTAAAAGTAGCCACGATGGAGAAACACTGACAAAATGGGTGAGTGTTAAGCAGAAAGCGATCCATTTGTGATAGCTATTTCTATTTTGCCTGTTTCTTCCCCAGATTCTTCCATCTCCAATGCTTCCGGAGCAGAAAGCTTAGCCATCCAGCCTCAGAAACTTTTGATCTTAGATGCACGCTCCTACACAGCCGCAGTCGCCAACAGAGCCAAAGGAGGGGGCTGTGAATGTCCAGGTGGGTCTTAAAATTAAATTCTTACCACCCAGGTATTGTGCATTTATATACCCAAGGAGGCAGGGAGCGTGTCCGGACTTGGCCCTGCCGGCTTCCGAAAGGTAGTTCAGGAAGAAGGACGATGCCGTAAAAATGCGGGGATCGCTTTAAGAACAGGAGTCTCCAAACTTGGCAACATGGCTGGCTGAGGAATTCTGGGAGTTGAAGTCCGCAGGTCTTAAAGCCGCCAAGTTTGGCGCTCCAGAGCAAGGATGATAATTCCTGATTTACAAACTCAGCTGAGTCTCTCAAACAAACAGGGTACGGGCCCCAGCTTGTTGCCAGCTGGTTTCCGCAGTAAAGCTTGTAATTCAGTTTTTCCTGGCCTCTTCTGAACCACTTTCTCTTCTCTCTCTGCTTTCAAACAGAGTATTACCCAAACTGTGAAGTGGTGTTCATGGGAATGGCCAACATCCACTCTATTCGGAAGAGCTTTCAGTCACTGAGGTTGCTCTGCACGCAGATGCCAGACCCGGGAAAGTAAGTGTCTCCCCCACTCGCCCCTTCTTGCCTTAGTACAGGGGTGTCCAACCGTGGCCACATTAAGATCTGTGGACTTCATCTCCCAGAATTCCCCTGCCAGCATAGCTGGCGGGGGAATTCTGGGAGTTGAAGTCCGCAAGTGGCCAAGATTGGACATCCCTGTCTTAGTAGATGGTAGGTTTTTTTTCTCCCCCTCTTAGAAAAGGGAACCTGGATTGTTTGACTTATATTTGAAAAACTGGCAGGTGAAAGGTTTCATTGTCGCAAAAGCCAAGGGGAAGCCCAGTTGTGGTTTTCTCCCTCGTGGTCCTCGGCCGTGAAGGAAGCTCCCAAGGTCTGCCTTATCCTTTTTTGAGCCATTTCCCAGATCACACTTAACCAGCCTAAGCAATCCAAAAAGATCTGCCTCGTGGCAGAGTTGTGTGTACCGACTTCCACAATGCTTTTGAGCATTGTGGGTGTGACTTCCTGCCCTGTTGAGGTTTGCCCTGTCTCCCTATGTGAAGCAAGTGTGTGCGGGCAGTCCTCGGCGTAAGACCACAATTTCTGTACTGAAATGAGACATTTGTGAAGTGAGTTTTGCCCCGTTTAACGACCTTTCTTGCTATAGTTCTTAAGTCGGTAACCCGGTTGTTAAGTGGATCTGGCTTCCCCATCATCTTTGCTCATCGGGGTCACAAAAGGGGATCACACGATCCCAGGAAACTGCAACCGTCGTAACTGTGAGGCAGTTGCCAAGCATCTGAATTTTGATCGTGTGACCTTGGGGAATGCTGCAGTGTGAAAAGGTCACAAGTCACTTTTTTCACTGCCACTGTAACCTCAAAGGGTCACACACACACACACACACACACACACACACACACACACACACTGATCCAATTCAGGGGAAGTCCCCTCTCTGGGCTTTAATAGCATATCCTAGTCAGGTTCTCCTCTCGTCTGCCTTTGCAGCTGGCTGTCGGCTCTGGAGAGCACCAAGTGGCTCCAGCATCTCTCTGTGCTTCTCAAATCAGCCCTCCTGGTGGTTCACACAGTGGACAGAGACCAGCGGCCTGTGCTGGTCCACTGCTCCGATGGCTGGGATCGGACCCCGCAGATCGTGGCTCTGTCCAAGCTGCTGCTGGATCCGTATTACAGGACCATTGAGGTTTGTGTCTCCGGAACGGGTCGCCTTCGACTTTGGGTCGAGAAGAGGCTTTGAGTTAGAACGCTTGGGGTGATGCTCCCTGGAAGAAGAGAATTGCAGAGTAAGAAGGTGTTTAGAGACATAAAGATGTGTCCTAGGAGGAGTGAAGCGGGAGGAGACCGGAAGGATTCAGGTTCCTTTTGGGGAAGGCCAAGTGACAGACGTAACCAGAAGCGATTCACACACAGCCCCCCTTGTTGCACTAAAGCAGCCTTGGTGTATTGGCATTTCCACAGAGGTTTTTTTTGGGGGGGGGGGGTTGATTCCATATAGATCAGGGGTGTCCAACTTTGGCAACTTTAAGACTTGTGGACTTCAACTTCCAGAATTCCCCAGCCAGCATGGGGAATTCTGGGAGCTGAAGTCCACAGGTCTTAAAGTTGCGAAGATCAGACACCCCCCCCCCCGATGTAGATTGCCAAGGGCATTGAGGTTTACAATTGTCTCAGAAGGCCTTCAGTCGATCCAGGAGCTCAAAAGAGGACGGGCTTGGCGAAGTCACTGCCCTGGGTTTCCCGCAGGGTTTCCAAGTGTTGGTGGAGATGGAATGGCTGGACTTCGGCCATAAGTTTGCAGACCGCTGTGGGCACGGCGAGAATTCAGACGACCTCAACGAACGCTGCCCGGTGTTTCTGCAGTGGCTCGACTGCGTCCATCAACTCCAGAGGCAGTTCCCCTGCTCCTTCGAGTTTAATGAAGCATTCCTTGTAAGTGATTGTTTTTCCCACAGAGGCCCTGACTCAAGAGTTTGAATGTGTTGAATCTACCTAATCTGGCTGAATGTCCAGATCACACCTTGGAGTAAAAAGGTGGCTTCAGTTCATCTCTGACTCGGCTGTTTACTCGGGCAAAGAGAAAAAGAGTCTTGATTAATGAGTTGCCATTCCCAGGCTCTTCTGCCTTTATCTTTGTCACCATCTGTTCTGTTGTTGTGGGTTGTGCATTGTGTAAAAGGAACCTGCAACCTCTGTTGGCAAAAATTTTGCAACTTGTGGGTTCCTTTGAGATATTCCCCAGCAGAAGAACTGTTAAAACATTCGGCTTTGCAAATTCGGCCCAGGCCCCAGTACTATCCTTTCTTATAGGTCAAGCTGGTGCAACACACCTACTCCTGCCTCTTTGGTACATTCCTGTGCAACAACGCGAAGGAGAGAGGCGAGAAGCACACCCAAGAAAGGACCTGCTCGGTGTGGTCCCTGCTACGAGGAGGAAACAAAGCCTTCAAAAACCTGCTTTACTCCTCCCAGTCTGAATCTGTATGTTCTGGTTTTTATTCATTCTTTATTCTTTGTTTGGTCCCTTGTTTCTTCCAAGGGGCATAAGCTTTTCCCCTATTTGAATCTCACAATTACCCTGAGGATGCAGCTGGCTGTCAGGCCCCAAGCCCAGACACAACACAGTGAAAGCCAGCCAAGTTCAACCCTTCCTTTGCGTGCCCCTAATGGGCAGAATTTGGCCAGACTAAAGCTATAACTTCTAACTTAATCAATAACAGTATTGCAGGCTAACTCACTGCTCGCTGCCAGGAATTCGATCCTGACTGGCTCAGGGTTGACTCAGCCTTCCACCCTTCCGAGGTCAGTAAAAAGGAGGACCCAGATTGTTGGGGGGAAGGATGCTGATTCTGTAAACTGCTCAGAGAGGGCTGTAAAGCACGGTGAAGCAATATATAAGTCAAAAATACTTTGGCCACCTAATGAGAAGGAAGGACTCACTGGAGAAGGGCCTAATGCAAGAGAAGAAGGGGACGACAGAGAATGAGATGGCTGGATGGAGTCCCTGAAGCAGTAGGTGTGAACTTAAATGGACTCCAGAAGATGGTAGAGGACAGGAAGGCCTGGAGGAACGTCGTTCATGGGGTCGCGATGGGTCGGACACGACTTCACAATTAACAACAACTATTGCTGTTGCTATATCCTGAGAGGTTTCTAGAGCAGAGATGGGCAGCTATGGAAACTTTACGACCTGTTGACTTCCAGTTCCCAGAATTCCTGAGCCAGCCATGCTGTAGATCTGTTGAAGTCCACAGGTCATAAAGTTGCCACAGTTGCCCACTCCTGCCCTAGGGTGTGGCTACCCTGAATCTCTTTGTTCCTTCCCCATCCAGACCGGGACTGCGCAGTCTCTCAGTTTGGGACTCTCTCTCTCAAATGGACTGCCTTCTCTGCCAGGATTGCCCCCCCCCCCACACACACTTTCCTCCTTCTCCAGGTGCAGATTCCATCACACAGACTGAGGTCATCCGGGAAGCCACAAAATTAGTTTGTGGTTTCTTTTCAGGCCTTTTGCAGCCTTACCTAATTTATTTTTTCTGCATTGGCGCTTTATTTTTTTTATTTCTACCCTCTTTGGAGTGGGGAATATCACTTTACAGTTGTACCTGATTAGAGGCTGGCAGATTTTTTTATTGCTAGGACAGGCGGAAAATTGAAAACAACACATCAGTAATAAACTATATCTGTCATACTGATATTGACCAGCAGGGGTCAGTGTCAAAATCTCAGTCTCTGTTCGTCTTCCTTAGGTGCTGTATCCTGTGTGTCATGTGCGCAACTTAATGCTGTGGAGTGCCGTGTACCTGCCTTGCTCCTCACCTTCCACCCCTGTGGATGACACCTGTGCCCCTTATCCAGTCGCTGGCTCGAACCCTGAGGATCAGCCTCTGAGCAGGTGAGCCCGGATTTCAGGTGATCCGCTGTCCTCTTTTTCACCGTCCATACATTGAACCAACAGCAGGTGTATAAAGTGTTAAAACTTCTACTGGTTTGTAGAAAAGCACCCTCTTCTATTGCTGCTGCTGTCACAACTTTGGAATGTAAACCCTGGAAACTTAAACTTATATATAGCATACCCCCCAAAAAAAAAAAAAAAAACCAGAGGAAAAAGCGATCAAATAAATTTAACATTTAACATGTAGGATCCACCCCAGCTGGGTGCTGAAAAAATTGATTTTGCTCATTTATTAAATGTATATGCTGCCCATCTTGCTTTCGAGTGACTTTGAGTGGTTTACCGTGCCATAAATAGTAATAACATAAAACAGTGAAGTAGGCTAAATAGGTAAAGCTAAACTAACCATCCGTTGTTCTCTTTAATGCGCAGAAAGTCCAACAACGGTTTCTGACCTTTTCTATAAGAGCTTTACAAGACAGTTTAAACCTTACACTTGATTACTCTCGCTGTTCTTCTGCAGACTCCCAAAGACCAGGTCCTTTGACAATCTGACCACAGCCTGCGACAGCAGCCTACCAACCCCTAACCGGCGGAGTAGCGACCCCAGCCTCAATGAGAAATGGCAGGAACATCGCCGATCCCTGGAGCTCACCAACCTCGGGAACCCGGGAGATGACCTGTTTGACGGCGAAAGTTTGGCCAAACCAGGCAGGACTCTGATGGGAGCAGAGTTTTCGGTAGCTGTGGCCGAGGGGCAGATAGAAAACATCTTGCAAGAAGCCACCAAAGAAGAAGGGAACCTTGAGGAGAATATGAGATTTGGCCAAGAGAGGGCAGGGAAGGAAGGAGAAGGGGGTCTCACACGAGACAAGGAACACAGGACTGAACCCCCAGCTGGTTCTGCGACTAACAGCGTTTGTGAAAAATCCAACCCGGATGGAGAAACCTTGTTAGACAATCCAGTTTCTAATCAACAGCTGGTATCACAGGGTGCTTCTGAGCTTCAAGGCCCAGAGGAGGGGCACCCAGCTGTCCCTTGCACGGTCCAGAAGCCAACTCAGGGGGGAGAGCTACCGCTTGGCTTTTGGGACAATCCTGGAAATAGTGAAGTTTCACGAGAGGAGGAGGAGGAGGAGGGTGTTAATAGAAGTTCAGCAGAAGCTGAAAACGCCCCCAGTCCTGCCCATCCCATCCCACCATGGCCTGTAGGACTTGAGGCAGCCCCACCAAATATGGAGAGCTCAACAGAGACCTTAACAGAGACGGGAGCCAGGGCAGAAAGGATACAGCCCAGGTCTCCCCGTTTACGTCCTCCCACTGCGGCCAGCAGCATCGATGAACTTTCCCAGATGGAAGATCATTGGCCGGAGAGGGAGGGCTTAGTGGACGCTCACAAGCTGGCCGCTGCTCTAAATAGGACTCCTTACAGCAGCAACCCTTCCCCATGTGCCTTGCCTTTAACTGACTTTAAAGAGGTGGTCTGCAATGGAGACCTCGCCTCCGAGAACAAGATGGCTGAGAGCCCGGCGGGCTTTGCCGCTCCCCAGAAACACGTGTCGCCCAACGGGCACTGCGTGAACGGGGAGGAGATCAGGGCGAAGGTTCCCCTCAGCCGACAGATCTCTGCCGCCAGCCGCAGCTCCACCCCGCTGCATCTGAGGAACGTGCACCACAAGTGGGTTCACACCATCCCGGGCCGGCAGCAGGTGGCGGGCAGCCCGGACCAGCCTTCCCGGAATCACCTGGATGACGATGGGATGCCGATCTATGCCGATGTCATTCAGCAGCGCCTCCGCCAGATTGAAAGCGGGCACCAGCAGGAGGTGGAGAGCCTGAAGAAGCAGGTGCAGGAGCTGAGGAGCCGGCTGGAAAGTCAATATCTGAACAGCTCGCTGCGCTTCAACGGGGAGTACGGGGACGAAGTGGTAAGTACGGCCGTTCCTTCTCAGCACAGCTGCCCTCGTGCCAGTTGCACCACCCAGGGCACAAACCCAGGACAGAGAACAGCCCCCAACCCAGAGGCTGCACTGGACCCAGGCAGTCCATTGACGGCTTATCTTTTGCTTAGGTATTAAATTTATATGCCGCCCATCTCGCTATTGAGCAAACTGGGTGGTTTACCATGCCATAAATAATAATAATGTAAAGCAGTTAAGAGATTAAAAAAAAACCTTTGTGGGCATTAAAGCTGAAACGTTCAAATTAACCCCCAAGGGAATAAAAAGAACCAAAATGGAGGTGAAGGTGGGATCCTAATGAACTAATGGAATTTATATGCTGCCCCTCTCGCTGTTGGAGCAACTCTTAAGCGGTTTACAAATGGTTTTAAAAAAAGATAATATGAAACTGTTAAGATTGAGTTCACTGTTTAACTCACTGTATTTGCTGGATAGATAGACGGATGGATAGGATGGGTGAATAGATGATTGAGGGACAGAGAGATAGAAACAGATAAGAGATTGGGAAATAGGTATAACAGATGAGAGAGAATTAGATAGAGAGATAGAGATGGATGGATGGACAGACCGACGGACGGATAATCTTCCCTAGACAGACAGACACCAGCCTCAGTTCTCTGAGGAAGACAGTGTTCCAAAGTAAGCAAGGCTGATAGGATCAGCTTTCCTTCCCGGCTTTTCCCCTCCTCTAAATCTGATTGCTCCCCACAGCAGATGTAGAAGATGCCCCGTTCTTGGCTGCTAACCTCTTCCGTGGACTGGGAGTAGGTTATGCTCAGCTGTGTTTGTTTGCCAACAGACTTCAGTGCCCGACTCAGAAAGCAATCCGGATCACAACTGCTTGTCTCGCTGCAGTACAGAGATTTTCTCTGAGGCCAGCTGGGAGCAGGTGGATAAACAGGACACAGAGGTACAGGCCTCCATCCATCTCTGGCGCCTCCCCCTCCCCTTTGCCTACTTAGCACACGACATACTAACCACGCAGCTCCCTCTGGTCCTAACACTGGTCTTGATAAGCTTTCCTCCTCCACTCTGCAGCTGTCTCGGAAACTTCTCTGTCTCTGTGCCGGTGCCAAAGTCTCACTGCTTTCCGCTCTGCCTCTTTGGGAAGTGACGAAAGCCATTCTAGGATTTGCGCACTTGCCTGCGGAAGTGGGCAGAGGGAAGCAAGCGAGTGTCTGGTGGCTTTCTCAGAGGTCACGTCAGCTGGGTTTGGGATTTCTTTGCCAGAAGACTCTTCCAAGTTTTTCTCCTCCTCGTCCTCTTCTCTCCTCTCTCCCCAAAGCTGCCGCTTCTCAAATCAGTTTGTCTCTCGCTGTTTTCCCGTTGCTTTGATGCTTACCTGTCGGTGTTACATTTGAAAACAAAGGCTCTCTTGTCTTTGTAGGTGACACGGTGGCTCCCCGATCACCTGGCTGCGCACTGTTACGGCTGTGACAGTGTCTTCTGGCTGGTCAGCAGAAAACACCACTGCAGGTATTGTGCCTCCCAACGCTGCCTGCTTTGTTGTCACCAAGACAGCACTTTGCCATTCTCACTCAGCCTTTCGACCTCTGGCCGACATCCTTCCCTGTTAGAGCAGCTCCCTAGCCAATCGTCCAGCTGTTCAGCACGTAGGGCAACAGACAAGATGTTCCTTTCCCATGGTTCCACCATCCCCAGCAGCAGCAGCAGCTCTGCTGACAGTAAACTCACTATTTAGCTCTGGTCACTTCCCTCATCTAATCTGTTTCTCTGCCTTTCTGGCTTCCGAATAAAAGCGCAACCCTCTTCCGTTGATAGGGCACACTTTCAAATGTTCAGAAGGCCTGTATTGGAAATAGATTCGGGTCCCTGCAACAACAGAGATCTGTGTTGCAAAGGTGGGCCCATTTGGTTCATGGTTGAAGGACAGGTTGAGCTAGAGCCTTCCTGGATCTCTAGTTGATGAATCTGGCGGAATTTTTATTTTTTAGTAAAAAGATACTGGTTGGGAGGAAGCCTTTATGTTTCCTTATGTTTATTTTTTATTGAAGTGTTAATTGGAAGATCACCTTCCTAGTCTGTCTCTTTGGATTTCCCATTGCCTCCTGAGTAGTTGGGTTTGTTTGTCTCAATAATTTGGGCCAACCTTTACTCTAGTGACCTTAGCAACTGTTATTAGCAACTGGACTCCTTGGTGGATCAGTAATGAGAATTTGCCGTAAACCTGGTTTTAAAAAGCTCACGAAATCTTCTTAGAATTTGGATTCCACAGGCTAGTTAAAGAACAAATCCTAGTTAAAGATAAATTCTTCTCACTGGGACCCCCTCTGTCTCTGCATGAATCTGTGCTATGCCTCTCAACTGAAAATAGGTGAGCTCAGTCACGTAGAGGTCCAGCAGACAGCCTCAGTGGATGGATAACATAGATCTGTAAGGGTCTTTGACCTGAATGTGTTACCCACAGCTCGCAGTGTGGAGTATTTCCTTACAATGCGCGGTCAGAAAAGTGATCAGTTTCTTTTTTAAGACCATATAATGCCACTCTCAGGCACGCTGGGAAGCCAAAGCCTTTCAAACATCTAAAGCCTTCATTATTGGCAAGGCCGACTGAGGTTGCCGGGACTTGGTGAGCCACAAGTTCCCCACTCTAGGCCAAAAAAACCCAAAGACCTCAGTGGTCATTTTTTAAAAACTTCTCTGATTTAGTGTCTGCTCTGAGCTTTTTCTCCCCTTCCTGCAGGGACCCCGAATGTGTTGATCAGACTTGGTGAGCATTTGCATCAGCCTCTCTTGTCTTGCCTGCATTTCTCTGATCACTTCTCCCCACTAACAGTTGCCTTCCCCCCCCCCCCTCTGCGTTTCCTTTTCCCAGAAGTCCTAAAGCGCAAACAGCCAAATCCCGGCTTTTTGTTTTAACGTTGGATGCTTCCAATGTCTTGCTGCAAACCGTTTTCCTTGCAACAGCAGCTGGTTCATGTACACTGCTCCATCAGCAGATTATTTTGGCCTTGGTCTTGGTATCATGGGTGACTGATGGTAGCTCACAGTTCTTGAACAATCACACACACACACACACCAAAATCCAGATCTGAAAGCAAATAAAAGAGCTTTGGCACCAAGGGATAAAATGTAGGTAAAAACTAATGCTTGGAAGACAAAGCAGCATTGTCCATAGGTTCACCTTTGCTAGTCATGTCTCTTCTATCAGTCCCAACAGTCAACTTTAGGATTTTGGCAAAAGGAAACAAATTAGTGGGCCCGGGTCCTCTTTGGGAGCAATGTGATATTTTTGAGATATACCCAGGTAGAATTTCACAAACGGCCTCTGCTTCTCAAAACATCTCAGATTTAGGCTCTCGTCCCATCGCAGGAGATTCTGTTGTGATCCCTTCCAGACCTGATCTGCGAGGCTGCTTTGACAAAAGAGTTCTTTTAGGATTGCTTTTGCTTGGGATCCTATTTTTCTTTCTCTTTTACTAAAGTTCCACTCCTGTTCTTGTTTTGTTTTTGCTTTTCTTTCTAATACCAGGGCCTGTTTGAGTCCATAAGGAAGCTTTGGAATCGCCTACTCCAGCCTGGTTTGACTTTCCTATAGAAAGATTTCAGCTTGATATTTGAAGGCTGCTTCAACAAGTGTCAGGGTTTTGTGTTTTTTTAAAGGCTCCCTTGTGCTTGCAGTTAGATTATGGATAGCATAAACAAAACCACAGCCAAGTATTAAAGTTTAAATCGAAGGGGGGATACTTGTTCTGTTACAGCATCACGAAGTTGCCCTTTCATTGCTTCTGGGGACCCAGACGAGGCGCAGGTGCTCGAATGCCCCTGCTGATTGACCACTGGCCCGTCCGTCAGCTGCTGTATCGCTCACAACACGTGGACTGCATCTTGTTTTCCCTTGCGGCTTGCTGTGTGACTTTGCATGGTCCTGGCAGGTTCACATTTTCTGGGTGCTGAAGCCTCGGCGGGCTACTGTTGACTCCCTCCGAGTCCTAACAACTTCTCAGGCAATGTAACTTGCTTGCCGTCATCAGGATCAATTGGTTTTATGTTGGGGAATCGTCCGGAGGCAGACACTTGAACCTGGGTCCCATTGCAACCAGCACAGGGGTTTTGATGAAATGGGCTTTTTGTTCACCCCTTCTGCTCCTGACCCTCACAGGGACAGGCCCATCCCTGAAGGGGAGGCACTCAGATCTCTACTCCTGGGGTTATTCTCTGTCAAGGAGGGCTCCTCTCTGCCTAATCCTAATGGATCCGTGCTGCTCTTGCTTCGGAATTGCGTTTCTGCATTGCAAACTCATGCTCGTGTTTTTTCTTCCCATTTTCTGACCCAAGGAATTGTGGAAATGTGTTTTGCTCCAGCTGCTGTAACCAGAAGGCGCCAGTCCCCAGCCAACAGCTCTTCGAACCCAGCCGGGTCTGCAAAACCTGCTACAGCAGCTTGCACCCCAGCAGCTCCAGCCTTGACCTCGAACTGGACAAGCCCATTGCTGCCACCTCAAACTGAGGCTCCAGCCTGGAAGGAAAGCTGGGAGGAAACAAAGCTGCCTTTGTCCCTTGAGGAAGACACACCAATTCCCGGTGGACTGAAGCTGGTAGGATGGGAGGAGCTGTGCACTTTGAGCTGGAAGTACAGGTTACTGCTCAGAGGGAAGAGGACGATGGGTAGATAGATCCTGGCTGGGTAGATAGATCCTGGCGGAGCAGTCCTTCCCCATTGTTACTACTCCTTCCCTTTCCTTCCTTCTCATGTAAATTTAGTGTGGATTTTGCAGGAAGGCCATGAAAGGGGTCTAGTGGGGGGGGTCGCTCTGCCCTGTCGTTGAACTGCACCATCGAACTGCACCGCAGGCAGGCTGTCCTCCCTTACCGAGAAGAGGGGAAGGTGAATTGCCAGAGAGATTGTGAATACCTGTAGCATTAGGACTAGAGCTTTCAGTCACTCCTGTGACTTCCCAGCAGCCCCTTTGCTGTTTGGAGAGTTGTTGCTGCTAGAAGAAACGGAAACGGCCTTCTCAAAGGGACTCTCCCCCGCTCTGTCCTGTAGGGTGGGCTGCATTGTTCCCGTCGCCCGAATGCAAGGGGTGGGTTGCCCGTCTCCACACTGGGCACTCCTCTGTGGCCCAGGGCAGAGAAGCCTGGGTCACTTGGCTAAGAAGATGCCTGCTTGCTTTGAGGGAGGCGAGAGGGGAAGGGGTGGCTTTAAACCAGCACACACGCCCCCCCCCATGTAAAATTCTGTACATCCATTTTTATTTTTATTTTGTAAAGGAATTGGTGCCTAGGCTTGAAGGTAGCTTTTAAAATGCCTCTCCTTGCCGCCGCCCCCTCCCCCAATTTTAAACCTAGTTTACACAGAAAGCAGAGCTGCTTCACTGCACTCGGTAGGCTATGTGCAGCGGCAGGTGGCCGTTGCACATAGCATTGAGGTGTCCTTTTCACAAAACAACCCCGTAAAGCTAGAGTGGGATGGTTTTCCTTTGCTCTAGAGCTGGCTAGGAAAGGTGGGTTTGCTGGTGCCCCCCAAATGAGGCGTTGGGAAAAGAGGTGACCTGTCCAGAGCTGTTTTCCTCCTGCTAAATTAGCTTGGTTAATGTTGCCCCATAAACCTTCGATAGAGTCCTCCTATTTTTTTCTAAGTTTTGTATTTTCCCCCTCACTCTCTCTCTAATGGTTTTGGAATGGGAGGAAGAATTATAGTAGAGAGTTTATAATCTGCAATAAGATGCCTGAATCCATCCAGAATCATTTCTCTTCTTTTGGTCCTCATATGCTTAGATCGGTACATGCAATTCCTTCCTTTCTGCGTCACCACACTTCAAACACCTTCCATACACCACCTCTGCAACATTAGTTTTCATGCAATACAGATCTACACACTGTCCTTGAGTACCAGGTGGGAGGTCCCCGCACCCTGAATTGCCATAAGCTCACAATCCTGGCATGAATAAAGAACAAGCTACATAACAGAAGGAACAAGAAAAACCACAACTAAGCTGTTCTCAGCGTTTGTGCTGTAATAACTAGACTGGTTTAGTAAACCTGTTTGCCAAGGAGAAAATAAGAAAAGTGAAAGATACACTTGTAAAGAACAAAATAATACAGGGGAGACATGGAAAAATAAGGAACCAAATTCCAGGAAGGCATAGCCAGAGGCGCTTCCTCGTTCACACAGACGGGGTAATGCCTTGGCACCCTTTGTCTTCTTCCAACTGGGAGAACTGGTACAAAATTTCAGTGTGGGATTTTTATTTTTTTCATAAAGAACGGAACGCTCTGGGAAAATCGGCAGAGGTGTACAGTTCCAGGTTGGGAATGTGGAAACAGGTTATTGAAGGGACATACAGAACGCTGGCTAATCTCTGCTTTTCCAGTGCTAACTGGTATGCAGCGAGACATTTTCAAACAAACAAACAAACAAAGCAGAATAATAAAGGGGAAATGGTATTGTGTGATGCAGTGAGCCAGTGTGGTTTTATGGTACAAACAGAGGGCGAAAGGTCTCACGTTCAGTGGTTCGCAATAGGTGCCAAGTGGTTCCAATACGGGTTTTCGGGGTCTGTGATGTACAGTGTGAATAAAACGCTTGCAGCTCTTAGTCTTTTGAATCAATGAAGCACTCTTTTATGTTCAAGTTTCCTCCCATTGGATGTGAAGCAGTGAAACCCGGCTCTGTGTGAAAATGTGTGCGTGCGTGCATGCGATGCGTGCATAGAACTTCTAAAGAGGAGCAAAACTACTTCTTTATTTTTTGTCAGATGTAGTCTTAAATACTCTAGAATGATGAAATATATAAATAAAAGTGAAATAAACTTTAGAGTTTGCACACAGGAACAATTGTTGAGCTACTTCCTAATTTTTATCTGCCCCAATCTCAGGCTGTTATTTCCTCCTGCTGAAATAGGTCAGTCTGGAGGTTTCTCTCTTGCTCAAACTTCCCTTAATTTCAAGGCCATCACATTTTAAAGCTAACCAGGCAAATGTATTCTCCTAGATAGCTGTAAAGAAATATTCCTTATATGCTTGAAACCTAGACCACAGTCCAGTGCATTTCCAGTTAGTAAATCTTTAGTGGGAGTCAGTTACCTGTTAATGGTCCCTATTAATTTTCTTCCTTGCAAAGTTGGCAGAATTTCAAAATATGGTCTCCTTCTTTGTGACTGAAGGCTGGGGAGGATTTGAGTCAGTTTCCTAAGAATGCTGGATGTGGTTTGAACAGGTACTTTGATAAAGCTAAAAACACTACAATCCTCATTTGTGAAGAAACAATGGTATGTTCCTGTATAATGACACCACAGCCTCACTTTCCTGTGTTCCCAGTCAGTTGTGCTAACCATACTTTCCATAGTTGGGTTTCTCAAGCAATACAATTCATATTAATAAACCAAGAACTCTTTCTGGCCTTTTTTTTTTTTTTCCATTTGTTCTATCTGGCAAGTCCTCATCTTGTTTAAAACCTTCCTTGGCTGCCTTGTCTGCTCAGCCGGTTCAGCATACACACTTGGGTGGGACTTCTTATGAACGTCTGGGTCTGGCAAAGATTTGCATGCTGAAACCCTGCAGTCATTTGGAATTCCACAAAGAGGAATACAATCAACATCTCCAGTTTTTCTGGATTTCTAGATGCCAGGAACTCTATCTGGCTGAAAGACGGCAAGTCATTGAAGTGGAACTGCTGCTGAGCCAGGCAATTGGAGGAGTTGTGCTGGGGGTGTGGCTTTTGTTGGGGAGGGATTGTTTAACTGGGGCACCATGGGTTTCTCTTGTTAACGACAGTTTCAAACTTTGTGTGCTGCCCAGTATCACTGCAGTGAGAACCAACACACAAGCTAGCTCCCGGATGAATAGATGGCCACCAAGGGCTTGCACATGAGAAAGGGGGTATAGTGAAAGACTGAGCATTCGCAAGAAAAGTTGTGCTGCATGCTGGCATACAACGTTTGTGACCCAATTCGTAATTTAGCCTAGCAATTTTGTGTTAAGTTGCTTTTAGCTGTTTTAGAATAATATTCTTTTGGAAAATTTGTCTTTGGTACTTTTTGCTTTCTTTATAAAAACATTGGAAAAGCGAAGCTGTTCTGCATCCTGTGCTCAACATTAGCCAGCCAGATATTTTGGGGCAGCTTCTCATACTTGGTGTCAGTAACTCAACCATTACAACAGGTATCCATTGATATTTTGGATGTATCTAATCCCCTTCTACCTTCAAGACTGTACTAGCCCTCGCTAACAGATGCATCCATTTCCCATCAGCTCAGTAACATTTTAAAAGCAAGTCCCTGCAAGCAGAACTTTCATCCCCCACTATCCATATCTGCAAGTAAGTCCAGTAATTTGGAACTTGGCTTCATCGGCAACAGCTCACCATGGGAAATATTTATGGGAGTTTTCATGGTTGATGTCTAGATAAAAGGAATGTAGGAACTCAACTCTGAAAAGGAAATCAACAGTGGATCTTCACGGAAAAAAAAATGCGGAACATCGTTAAGGCAGAAGAGTCAGAATAAAGTTTATTTTTATGGAAATTAAGGTATATCCTACAAGAAAAGATCTATTGCATCAAGCTAAACTGTGTCTAGTCCAGTATCGGCAAGCCCGATAATTTTTTAAAAGAGCAAATGCACTATTATTTGGTGTCCAGTTGTCTCCATTTGGTTACTATAGTTCACATTGTTGTACCAATTAAAACAAAAATGAAATGGGGAAAAAAATTGAGCTGCTTTGAGTGCTTCATTACAACGTACTCTGTGGTTTGTATCTTTTGCTCTAATGCTAAACAGAAGGCTGCCAGCAATTAGTTTATTAATTACGCCAAGTGTCAAATTCGTTACTTGGAAGAAAAAACTAGAGAAGGGATCCTAAAGATATCTTGGTCTGAGCATGGATTAATTGTTTCACCCCGTAGAGCAGAGGAAATCGCTTTAACGAACAGGAAGTTGAGGCACTACTAAAGCAAAGGCCAGATAAAAAGTGCCTTGAGAAGGGGGCAATGTGAGAAAACGTCTCGTTCTAGTCCCTTCCTGGTTCACACCAAGGTTGGGGGAAAGAAGCTTATTCAGAATTGCAAGATTCTGTTAGTATAGCTTTACAATCAAAGTAGTGCTATCTTTCCAGGTCCTGTCCCTTTCAGATGTGTTATCCTTCAACTACCATCACCTAGTGGACAGCTTGTTCAGTGAGACATAGGAGTTGAAGTCTAACACATTCAGAGCACAACAAATGTGAAAAATTGCTTTAAATTCTATATTTAAAGTTGAGTGATTACATTCTACCCTACAGTATTGTTTCTACCTTAAAGAATGATTTGAAAAGTCAGTTTGTGAGTTCAGAAGCCAGCTGGAACATACCACAGAGGTGCTTAATTGGAATGGACCTCTGGAATGTTGTCTTTCAAGTCCTGTTTTGAAAAGAAAACTTGACACTCTTCTAAAGGCACACACGTACACACTTCTCTGGCTTCTTTCACATTCGGTATGCTTTGCTACAGTTTTCCTCTCAGAGAAGAATAGCCATCATAAACCAAAGATTGATCCAGAGAGACTGCTTTAGAGCTGTAAGAACCAGCCTTCTCTTCTCTGTCCACAAGGCAGACGTCCTCCTGACACCACCTGCGGAAGGTAAGGAGAAAGCCTTCTGTCTTCAAATTAAAATGGCATTTCCCACTTTCAGACCCCCATCTACCTCATCATTGCTTCCTATTGCTAAAAGGGGATGGCGCATCCTGGATACCGAGTATATTGCAGAAAGCTTTGGTGGCATCTGCCCTGGCAGCTGAGCTCTAGAGCTTAATGACACATCAGAAAACTGGATAAACAAAGCCGATCATTTTGAGGTGCTGTAAACATCGCGTACCCCAGAGGCCCCCAATCTTTTGGGTACCAGGGACCGGTTCCACGGAGAGAGGTTTTACATGGACTGCAGGGGTGTGTGGTTTCGCAGGCTGCCGGCATCCCATGGATGGAGCTTCGCTTGTTTGCACAGACCGATTTCTAGCATGACACGCACCGGTGCCAGTTCAAGGACCAGGTGTTGGGGACTCCTGGTGTACCCCTTTGTTAGGACAGAGGTGAGTGATTTTCCCATAGTCTAGGAACGGAACTACTTCTCACAACCAGTTAGAAGGCTGCCTGTGTCACTGCAAGGGTGGACTGAGGGAGGTTGATCAGGGAGGTTGTTTGGAATATTGGGGAGGGGGGCAGACCACTCCCTTTTTACCTAACTTGCAAGCTGGAAATTGTTATCTAAATTTTGTCCAATTTCAGTAGAATAATATTGGGCCTGAAGGGGATTTTAAGGGAGGAAAATGGTAGCTGTTGTCATCCCCAAATTTGATTCCCATTTCCATCCTTAATGTTTAAAAGGCGGGGAGGCAAGGGGGAACCCAATTTGTGCCACTACACTCACACCTAAGTTCAGGGGTACTATGGGGAACTCATTGTCCCCACCTGCACTAAGGCTGTCAGCTGCTCTTTGCTGGGTCTGATTGTTCATTTTTCTTCTGCAAACTCCAGTCTCAGTTCTCTGGCCTCGTGTCAGGTGCTTGTCCTATTCAAGCTGCTATTTCTCAATTTTCAGAGCAAGTACTGCAGCCATAGAGCAAAATTGTTTCCCAACTTAATGTGTGCAATATTTTGGGTTTCACAGTCTTTGCTTTGATATTAAATTTAATGGGTACCTCTGAGCAGCGTAGATATTTGTGGCTGATGCACCAGCCCTGGCGGCCTGCTCCAGCAGAAGGACTCCTGCGGGAAATAAATGCATAGTCGATTAACATTTCTGATTTGCTTCCTAATGAGATCTAATGGGATCTACCCTGTAACCCGAATCGTCTGGGCACTTGACCACATGGAGAACTCTTTATTGTGGGCAACAATTTGGAAGCTCCTTTTAAAGTCTTCCTATTAATCCTCATTAGCAGCATTCCAGGGACCATTTTCTCTTGAAGAAAGGACTTCCTGCTTGTTTTTTAGCCACTGCCAAACTTGATTTTAGGAGAACAGTTCACAGCATGAGCTGTGGAATTAGAAAATAATCCCCAACATGTTAAATAATGCACAAGAACTGCTTCAGATCCCATTTATAGAAGACAAGACTAATTTTATTGATCTTAAGTTTAATCTGAGCTCAAAATCTGTGGGTTTCCCTACCTCCCTGATCGATTCAGTTTTGTACTGTTAAATTTGTTGCTTTTTTTAATTTCTAACTGTAGCACAGTACTATCCTCAGTGCTGCACATACCACAAGCTAGTTTTTCTCTAATTAGCCTGCTTGCCAACAATTACAGAACCAGAGGCTGTTCGGTTTTCTGTCTGTGCTATGACTCCAACAAAGAGAATCCTGCTTGTTAAGTATTGCATGCAAACTCTGAATGCTGGGTTGGTTTAGAGGATTCAAAGTCTTTCTGAGCAACATTGAACAATTTGAGATGATTTTTGTGTTGAGCAATTACCTACATAGATCCATGCCAGAGTATAGGCAAAGTCTCTCACTGCAAGTTGCCACTCAGCTTCTCCCTTCGAGTCCATTCTTGGAACAAACTGCTTGAGTTTTTGTAGATTATTCTGAACTATTTGCACAGAAGTTTGCAGTTCGGACTGTCGGGTAGCTGCCTCCAATTTGGCCTACAAGGAAACTCTCAAGTCACAGAACAAACACTCAGAATAACCCTCAAATTACCTCGGGCTAGCAGAAGAAATTACTCAACTGCCACTTCTCTGAAGATAGGATTCTCTATTCCCACAAGACTGTTGCAAAAAAGTAAGGATAAGATTAGTGGTACCTCAGAATGAACTGGTTATACAAGCATCTGTGAATCAGAGAAGAGAGTCAATCTTTATTCCAGCTAGGACTGCATTGGTCTTTTGAGGGTTACATACCTCAATTAGTGGATGGGACAACTGATGTAAGAAGTGGCAGTAAATTTTGATTGTGCTACTTAAAAGACCAATGGGAGATGATGAGGCTGACTAAGCCTGTTGCTCCTACTAGGAGCCTCTCAAATTTTAACATTTATCAGTGGTGGGACAAACTCATTTATTGGTGTCTGCAGAAAGCTTACCTGGGCAGTGGAGAAAAAGACATCCAGCGCTTTTCCTTGGCTCTTGAGAATGCAGCGCAGAACATCCAGGGACAGGATGTTAGTAGTTCCCTCCCAGATTGGTAGCACCTGGGGGGGGGGGGAAGAGAGGCAGAGCTGGAGAAGCAGATGCCAGAGGGGCAACCTCTAGGAGTAAGTTGGGCTGACCGAGGATAACCGTCCCAAAGTCTCCCAATAGTTCTCATGGTTTTAAGAATAAGGTATTTTCACATTTCTATGAATGAATGTTCTGCGCTTTAATGTGTTCTTCTCACTAGAATTGCTTAAAAATAAATCAGTTCTCAGTCATGACCTTAGAAATGTTATTTTTTAATATTTTCCTTTATAAGTGAATTTGTCTTTCAGATACTTGGAACATCCCCAAGTGTTGTGGAATACCACTGCTATATCTTCAAAGGCAAATATTCAGTTTCTTTTTATTTCTTTCAGTTTTTCAGACTTTTTATTTCTTTTATTTCTTTAAGAAAGAACTTTCTGAGTATTCAGAGGCCTGAATTACGTTTCCCCCTTTTCTTCATGATCTCAGAAGTCTACTATAACAAAGCTTATGTCAGGAAGAAAAAGTGAAACAGAGGAACTAAGGTGCAGATTTGTCTTCCTGTTTCTTCTCTCTAAAATAGCAGCAGACTGCAAAAAATAAGAGAAGGAGTAAAAAAAGAAAAAGTCCAGTGCTTTTTACCTGGCTAGACCGGAGCAAAACAGGCAGGCCTGTATCTTCCATGAAGCCCTGTCCTCCGAAACACTCCAGGCCTTCTGAATTCACAGCAACAACCTGAAACACAAACTGACTTGTTTACACATCTGACAAATAAGCTGGGCTGAGAGAAGGACAAACAACAATCCACCAGGTATATAAATGTTAGAATCTATTTTTGCTTTTGTGCATTTGATCTTTAAGGACCTCTCAGCCCTCTTGGCTCAAGGATTGGGGGGGGGGGCCTTCCTCCCAGTGAAATATGATCAGAAGGAGCCCTGCAGCCCGCTTCTGACAAGCCCATTCCGCTCAAAGACGTCTGCTTTCAGGAACTTATGACAAAAACTGATGCCTTTGGAGAAACATTGTCAGGGGAAGAGGGGCTGACAATGATCCCCGATTCCTTGATCCCTAGACTGAACGGCCCTGTAGAGATGCCCTCTTGGCCAGTCTTGGGAACCGCTTAGCCCACGGAATCAAACTGAGCCTGACCTGCTTTGCAGTGTAAAGTTTAGCGAGAGGAGTGAGCAGCCTCAGCATGAGCTTCTCCTGCTCCGTCGCCATCTTCGTTTCTTCCAGGCCAAGCAGTCTCGCGAGCTCCATCACCAGCAGGAACGCTCCTTGGACTTGCACCTGCACAGGTGGAATGGCAGTTGCTCTGAGCAAGACCCCTTGAGGCTGACAACCACCACCACCACCTCTTCCTCCTCCCTCCCTCCCTGCACAAGTACCCGAAGCAATAATCATATGGCAAACTACGAACCATAGTTTACAAGTGCAAATGGCAGTTTCCTTGTGTGTGGCCAGTTCCCTGCAGTGGAGAAATCCCTGTAGTTTTCTTGGGAATGTTTTTGGAAGTGATTTGTCCTCGGCTGCTGCTTCTTCTAGGGCTAACAGAATGTGACCAGCCCAAGGTCACCCCGCTGGCTTTGGACTTAAGGTAGGACTGGAACTCACAATCTTCCAGGTTTTAGACTTGTGCCCTCACCACTACAGCAAACTGCCTCTCCTTCCCTAGCATATTAAACTTTCTGAATCTTACATGATTCATTCTGTTCTTCACATTCTCCAATTGTATGTTACTTTACCTACGCTGGCGTTTGGTTTCAAACAAAAATAGGAAAAAATGCTGGAATCTTTCCCAAGTACATTGGGACCCGAGAGGGTGTGTGCTCACCTCCATCCGTGCCAGAGTTTGCATATGCAAAGGGTGATCCTTCAGAGGTTTCCCAAAGGCTTCCCTTTTGGTGGCATAATCCCGTGCCAGGTCGACCATTCTGTGGATGGAAATCAAGCCCATCACGGGGATTAACTGTTGCCTTTTCTACTACTTAAAAATATATTTTCTGCCATTTCCCAGAATTTAATGTCATTCGTTCATTAAGTCATAACCACATGGGAATCAGTACCTAAGGTAATATACTGGAGGGATATAACATTAATGTAATAAAAATGTTAAGAACTTTTTATTGTTTCTTTATCAATCCATAATAAAAATATTTCCATTTCTCTTTATAGACTATAGGAACACTCAGGAATATGCTGCCAATATTGGACAATAAAATGGGTATTTTTCTTGCTTAAAGTGTGCAAATAGGTGTGTGAAGATGTTGAAATGCTGAATACACCTGAGTATTCCTTTACGGTTTCAGTAACTTGGCCAACATTTTCCAATGACGTCGCCACATCTCTAGCAATTTGAAATTTAGGAGATGGCAAACTACATTTTCCAATTGTTCACACCAATTTAAGTTTGCCTAATTATCCTTGAGATAACAGAAGAAAGGAATTGCTTCTAATTTGCCCAGATATAGTTTTTCCTAGTTGCTTCTACTTCCGGGTTGGAAATCACCTTCTCATTATTCCCGCTGCAGCCACAGCATTATAGATCCTAGCGATGTTTAACATGTCGGCAATGCAAGGTATCCCCTTGCCTTCTGCAGAGATCTGAAAGCATCAAGAAACAGCTTCAAACTACTGCAACATTGGTACATTTACAAAACAGAAATTCTTAAAATACCATTTTCAGGATCTGAGAAAGAGAAGAGCAAGTAGTTTGAAGCAAAGCAAGAAAGAGAGCTTTATTCCAAAGACTGGACCTACAAACCAACCTTTCAATTTAAATAACTAATTCTAGAAATGTACAAGGTCTGCAAATCAGAGGGGCTATAAAGCTGAGTACGCACAATTCAAGCAAAAGAGTAATTTTCTGGAGCAACATAGGATACTAAAACCACGTTCTATCACAATTTGCTACGGAATGCACTGAAGAGCTATATTTACCAGGCTCTGAGGTCTGATGTTTTCTGAACCATTGCTCACAAGTCTCAAGACTTTTTGTTTCTGCTAAAAGTTTTAAAAACAACAGAAATCATTTCAACTAAGTAGTGCCAGACACCAGAGGTGAGGCTCTTCCCCTGCGTAACTCTTCCACTCCCCAGAAGTGTTCACACAGAACCCTAACAATTGTCTGTTGCGAATGTGTAATGTTTTTTTCGTCCAGAGGTCAGACCTGCCGGTATAAATCAGTATGCTAGCTGGGGAATTCTGGGAATGGAAGCCTACATTTTTTAAAATTGCCAAATTAGAAAAACACTAAACAATCCTTCCAACTTGCTGAGTCTCTCCTTTCAAAGTCAGCCCCCCCCCCCGCCTGGCTGCACTCTCTGCGCTCCTCTCAGTGAACGGAGGAGCAGAAATACTTTCCTCCGTGGTTCCTACCAGATGTGCTCGCGCTCCATCCAGCAACAGCTCTGCGGTTGGCATCTCCCTTGTGCCCAGCTTCTCTTTCAGCCTCTCTATTTTTATGCCATTCAGCTTCCCGTCCTCATATGTCTTCAGGTAGAAGAGAGAAAGGCCTCTGGAGCCCTGCCACACAAAAGATGCTAGCCTGAGACCTTGTTCGGGGGGAATGAAATAAATGCAGCTGGAGTTCGGACATTACTAACTGCACAACTACTTGCAAGCTACTGTTTCATATTCTTTGGGCTCGCCTGGGAATCTGACCTGTTTTATCTGCCCATCTGGCCCCACGATCCTTGCCAGGGTCAGCGCCATATCTGAATCAGTGGCTGATGTGAACCATTTGAAACCGTGCAAGCTGTAGGAGCCATCTGGAAGTTCCCGTGCCACAGTTTCTGTTCCACCTCCTGCAAAAGTAATAATAATAATAAAAAAAACATATTTTTGCTGCTGGGAATCTTCCCTGGAAGATGAAGTGAGATATCAGTGACCACTGATTGATAGTTAGGTTTCGATCCTGCTTTTCATTCAGGAGTTTGTGGTGATCTTCACAACTCCCTCTTCCTATTTTCCACAGCACAACCCTGTGAGGTAGGCTGGACTTCTAGAGGTAGTGCCTGCTCAAACAAACAAATTTTTGTTATAGCCAGGCATCAAAATGCATTTTAAAAATATAATACTTTCTCAGTAATGTCAATCCCTACTTAACATTCTAGCTATTAAGGGTTAAATTAGCTGGCAGCACAATTCATCTGCCTCTGAAGATGTGTTTTAAGGTTTCCAATTTCATCAGGGGTAATGTGAGCAAGGGATCTGATTTTATCTGCCATAAAATGTGATTGAAGAGTGCTCTACAAGAGGATAACCTGTACAGCCATTGTGCAAGTTGTAGTATATGGATTTCCTATGTGCTATAGCATGCATAAAGCACAAAATTCCAAAAATAGCAAAAAACACAAAACATGCCTGGAAAAATGGCATAACATACAAATTTAACGTCTTTAAATGGAGACGGTTGAATAAGTAAGCCTGCCCAAATAAAGTCTTATTTGCTAAACCGTATATTTTAGAAAGGTAGGATTGGGCCTCTCCATTGGATCCCCTTACCAACGTCAGAGCCGCCTTTGCGTTCGGTCATCCATTGGCCAGAAATCCAGAATGTCTTGGGGTCACAGGAGGTCAAATGAGCATAGGCTTCTTCCAGGGGTTTGGGGATACCTAAAGACTGTTGGAGTTGCAAGCAAGAGACAAAAGGCAGATACTGTATCGAGAAGGATGGAGAGATAAACTACCTGTCAGCCCTACCTTCAATTCCTAGAAGAGATGGGATGACACAAGCAAGAGGAATAAAAGTACACGGGGGTCACCATCATCATTGCCATTGGGCATCTGCTTGCATCTAATATGGAAAGCAGCAAGATAGTCAGGAACCCTGGCACAGCAGGACAGCTGCCAAACTGGGTCATGGGAAAAGTCGCTGAGCAGCAAAGTTAGGCAAGGGAGCTTCTCCAGAGATATCACACCCACAGCTGTCAACGGTCATGGCTTAAGGCAAGCTCGGAGGAGGAGAATCACCAAGGCCTTTTGATACCCTGAGTTTGATTAACTGATACTCTTGACTCTTTGATACCCTGAGTTTGATTAACTCATGCAGCCCCTCAGCCAGGGGCTTCCAATTAAAAGACCAAGAGGTGCCCCAATGCTTCCTTCTAAGTGCTTTGTGTTGCTCTCCTGGTTGATCAGAGTGTTACTGGGGTGGGGATGGACGGGGGAGGGCAGAATCCAATTATCCTTCAGGGAATTCTTTTCATAGTGTTGATGGAAAGAGCTATGACTATTCAACAGGTACAAAAGGATGGACTTTCCAATTTGTTGGCATGAAGACAGAGGGATAGGGGATAGGACAGAGATATTTTTACAAATGTTACTAAGAACACTGGAAGGTTTTAAATAAGAGTCACTTAGTCCAGCAGTTCCACCTTTGCAACATTAAAGGCTTACCTCAATCACTTTTGCTGCTCCATCAGTCATGGCTAGAGGGCATACATAGCTAGCAGAACAGGACACAAAAAGATACAGCTTGGCAATCTGATGAACACGACTGCGAAAAGAGAAATATGTGAAAGTATACTTAGCATGCCTCCCCAAAACCCTTTTATGGCAGATTTGAAACACTACCAGGAAAAGGACTTCAGAGGAAGGAAGCGATTCAGGGGCTGGAGGCTAAAACATATAAAGAACAGTTGCTAGAATTGGGGATGTCTAGTTTAATGAAGAGAAGGACCAGAGGGAACATGATAGCAGTCTTCCAGTATCTCAGGGGCTGCCCCAAAGAAGAGGGAGTCAAGCTATTCTTCAAAGCCCCTGAAGGCAGGACAAGAAGCAACGGATGGGAACTAATCAAGGAGAGAAGAAACCTAGGAGGAATTTCCTGACTGTGAGAACAATTAATCCGTGGAATGACCTACCTCCAGAAGTTGTGGATGTTCCATCACTGGAGGTTTTTAAGAAGAGATTAGACAGCCACTTGTCTGAAATGGTCTAGGGTCTCCTGCTTGAGCAGAGGGTTGGATAGAAGACCTCCAAGGTCCCTTCCAGCTCTCTTATTTTGAAGCAGGGGTGAATTGAAGGCTCCATGGAGAGCAGAGCCCATGACTGCAGCAAAATGAGGAAGGGACCAGCTTCTCAGAATTCCTGTGTGGAATTCTGAACAAGGAGGGGACCTGGGATTGCCCACACCTATTACAGGTAGCAGCTCCCCACCAGGAGACCACAATAGACTCCCATAGGTTTAGGACTCGGGGAGCCAAGGCATTGCCATCTTTACTCAAGCCATGGTTTGTCAGCTTCACAAGGAGATTGGCTTTGCATACAGCCTCTCTTAATCAGTTCTGGAAACTGCTGAATGTCCTTAATAATCCAAAAAGCAATTACCAATTCAGTTTATTGGGGTAGTAGGCCAGAGTGCTCTGTGAAAATTTGTCTGCTGTTATAAAAATGAATTTAAAAGAGATTATAGACGAAGAACAGGTTTTACTGGACAAAACAAACTGAGGCTAATCTAGCTTTATAGCCTTCTCTAAGCGCTTTACGGAGTCACTGTTTAAAGCTGGGGTCCCCAAACCGGGGACATGGACATGGATCTTTCTGCGGTACATTACTATCCGGGCCATGCAAGTGAGCAAAGCTTCATCTGTGCATGCGTTAAATCTAGATAATGTATGAAACCACTCTCCCCCCCCCCAGTCTATTGAAATATTATTTTCCATGGAGCCAGTGCCCAAAAGGCTGGGGACTACTGATTTTAAGGATCTAAAGACCAAAATCCATAAATGGAAAAGAAAGGACTATAAGGTTGGATTAGTACTTGATTAAAATATATGTTATTGTTTCTGGTCATTCTTAATGGACTTTTGCTCATGAGGATTAAATGAAAGGCTTTAAAATTGGTTTATAGCTAAGAGATAAGGAAAGAAGAGATATTTTGTTGAAATATCGGAGAGGCTGATAATTTTTTGAAGTTACTGAAATTGTGCTTGTAATGAATGAGGAAGTCATGTCTTTATATGTCTTTTCTTTTTTACTAGTTAAATTGGTGGATTTAATCAACTATTATTATTAAACAAAAAAACCCCACCAAACATTAAGCCTTGCCAGGATTTGACAATATGCAGGAGATGCCAGTAGAAGTAGTGTATACCTTTTTTTAATGAAAATTATCAGCACTTTTGATCAGTGACGTCATCAAAGCTTTTACTTAGCTCTTTTTTGGTTTTGAACGTCCATAGAATTAGTCTAGGGTTAACCTAATCATGTACCCAGAGGATTGACTGCCAATCTTGATGGGATTAGGCCAAAACGTCACATCCGGAGGGTGGGGGCTGAGCACGTCACTTCCTTTTAGGGCGATGCCCTGTTGACGTAACCAGCACGTGGGCTTGTTTACTTTGATGACGTCACTGATCAAAAGTGCTGATAATTTTCATTAAAAAAAGGTATACACTACTTCTACTGATGCCCAAACAAGTTCACATGGCTTTGCATGGCTCCCATAAACCAGAGCAGTACCTCCAACAGGAATGTCTCCTTTTATAACCTTCAGCCACAAGGCTCTCCTCAGCAGAGATGTCCTTCAGCCTCTTCCAGGCTGGGCAGGTGATCACTTGGTCCACACGCTGTCCCCAGGCATCAAAATGCAATAATCTAGGAGGGTTTAGCTCACACTCACGGCCCAAGAACTGAATTTCATCTCTCAAACGATCTCCAAACCGTTCCAGGTCAGGGTTCACCTCGGCAAACAACTACAAGGTCAATGTATAAATATGGAACGTGAAGAGGTGGTGGTAGGACAGGAACCAGAAAGTAATTTTGAAAGGAACAAAGGAAACCTAGTTGAAGGGCTGCTGATTTTTTTTGTATTTGGCCAGGAGTTTCATATGATGTTGCTTCTTCAAATAAGCTAAGTTTGTGGTCACCTCTCAGTGTCTTTCCTAAAGAACACTCAGAATGTATATGAGCTCAGCTTTAAGCTCAGTTCACTGTTTTCCAATCATCCTTTTCTTGGGTAAAACAACTGATGAAAATACAGCATTGAAAAGGGATATATGAATCAAAGTTTTTGTTGGCTCCTTTCCTAAGAGCTATCTCCAATCCAGGGTTGGAAATATGTCCATCTGTCAGAGCACAGGAATTGAGAAATTCTCCCAGAGCTTGTTTAGCTCTTTAGCCCGAGCGGGAATCTAATGCATGATTTCTCTTTGGGCATCCGGAGGAAAAAAACAAATATAGATTCTTTAAATGAAATGTCAATACTTTAAATGCACAGGTAGTCCTTATAACTGTTTAACAACAGTTCAAAGTTACGAAGGCCTTGGACAAAGTGATCCAACCTTTGAGCTGCTAGTGATATGAATGATTTACTTACGGTGGAATATTACAAAGTATGTGACTTTTGTTGTACATAAATGATTTAACAATTGTTGGATTGCAGTGTATAAACAACCTGCCTCCAGAAATTGTGGATGCTCCAACTGCAAGTTTTTAAGAAGAGACTGGACAACTGTTTGTCTGAAACGGTACAGGGTTTCCTGCCTGAGCAGGGTGTTCGACTAGAAGACCTCTAAGGTCCCTTCCAACTCATCGTTATTGTTATTATTAAGTAAAGGTGGTGGAAAATGTCACTCACTCAATGTGGCTGAGCCAGAACTCCAAACAGCCTCAGACACCATGGCTAATGGTGTGAACTGCAATATTAGAAGGACTGCAGCTGCTTAACTTGTATTTGCTACGAGCTGAAGTATGTTTTTGTATAATCATTTCTTTGCAATGGTATTGTATCAATATTGCAGCTCTATTGCCATAATTTAATGAGTGAACAAGATCATTGATGTTTTTTTTCTTCTTCCAAATTTGTGTTTCCTGAATTCAGGATGCTTATGTAATCATTCCATTCCATTCCATTCTCCTATTTCCTAATCGCCCATCTCCCTCAAATAAGCAACATTATGCAATATATGCAAAAAGTGTTTGTTTAAAGATTCTGCCCCCCCCTTTTGTTGATGTTGCAGATACGCATAAACAGCAGAGTGCATTCTAAAGGTAGTCCTCACTTAATGAGAACCAGTGAGTGTTCAAAGTTATGACAGTATTCTAAAAACAGGGAAACACTGAAATTTAAAACTTCTTCCTGACTACTTCAGGAAAAACAAGACTCCAGCTCTGCCATCACAACTCTAAAAGGAGATGAGTTCTTTTCATGGAAACTCAGTTTACTTCCCCCCCCCCCCAAACATATTAAGTCCCCAACCATTTTCTACAGATTAATATTCTTCTGCTGGCTTTCCTTCCTTCTCAGCATGGTGTAAACTGTCCTGTCCTATTTTTCAACCCCACACCAGCTAGTTGGGGGAAAAAAATTGGATAGTATCACACCTTTGAAGAAGGTTGAAAGGGGGGGGGCACTCCTACACAAGAGTTTAATGGAAACAGCCACCGTCTCTCTTAGGGCTTAAGGCCCTGTCAGGAAGGGAGGAAGACTCTGTGTTCTTAAATCTTTGGCATTAAAAAGGTGCAAGCTTTGCTTGGAAGAGATGTTGAGAAACGAAGCTGCCCTTTGGCTGCTAAGGTGAGAGAGCACCTTTTGTTTTGGTCCCAGGAACAGGGAAGGGTCCCCACCCCCACCCCCAGTATTTTCATTTCCCCCTTCTTCCAGCTTTTGGCGTCTGCAAAGCACAGATGGGGACCCCTCCCAAATCTGAGATGCAGAGAACTGGAGCTTTTCGCCCTCATTGGTGCTGTCATTAGAACCACCAGGCTGGAAGGGGCCTCCGAGGTCTTCTAGACCACCCCCTTGCCCGGACGCGCGACGGTTCCCAACCGGGTGCGCATTTCACTCTCCTGTCCCTACCGGGTTAAGGCACCTGGGCCGGGGGGCGCAGGAGCAAAAGCGATGGGTGGGTGGGTGGGAGGGGGGCAGCAAAAGAGGCGGAGAAGCGCCGAGCCAGCCTGGCAACCCAGCCCTGCAGCCCCGACCGTCGAGCCCCCCGTCTTGCGCCCGCTTCCCTCGGGACCCACCTGGGGAGGTAGGTGGGCTCTTAGGTAAGCCTGGAGCAAGGGGTCTTCCAGGTAGGGGTTCCCGATCCGAGGCGCTTCCATGGTTGCCAGCCTGGCAGAGGGATCCTCCAGCGCTCCGCAGCCTCCCGCTTCCCTCAAGGGCTCCGAACCCTCTAACCTTCCCGGCCCTGGCAGGGCGTTCCCCACCGGACTCGGGGGCAGGAGGGGCGGTTCTCCTCGTGTAGGAAAAGCGCGACTGTTGGAAGCAGAGCAGATCGGATCGCGAGTCTTTGGGCAGCTCTTCCAGCGCCCAGAGCGGGGCTGGGCTGGACCCAAGAGAGGCTGGCCGGGGGCTCGGGACGCCAAGCGGGTGGCAGGCAGCCCTCGGGGCTCTCGGTTGCTGCTGGGCAGCAGGAACTCCCCCCCCCAACTCATCCCCGCCCGGGGCAAAAGAAGGGGCAACCTCTGCAGCGCCTCCGCAAGCGCAGGGCGAGCTCCCCAAAGGAGGAAGCGTCTCCAGTGGATCTGCTCCGGTCGCCAAGAAAACTCTTGTTTTCTTTATTTTATTATTCATTCTTAAATAGATATTCAAAGATTTTTCTCTACCTTTGCCTGCCCCTTAAATTATTCTTCAAGAGAGCCTTTTGTTCTTCAGTTCCCTATCGCTTAAATTATTAGTATAAAGTATATATTTTCTGCAATTGGCTATTCCTTAAATTATTGTTAAAAAGAGTTTTTTCTCTTCAGTTGCCTGCCCCTTAAACTATTACTAAAAAGTTTTTTTTTCCCTCATCAGTTGCTTGTTGCGTTGATTTAAAAACAAACGGGCATAAAATGCATTGATTTAAAAAACAAAACGAAAACATGTCAAATGGTATTTAAAATTTATTCACAGATTTATTTTCACCCATAATGTCTTTTTTTTGTTTTTATCTTCTTCTTTCTTTTGCCCTTTAAATGTTTTGAAACAAATGTTTAAAGCTTTAAATCAGTAATAAAAACAAATAACCCCTTCGCAACTGAGACAGTACACATTGACTGTTCTGAGAATTGTAACATAATGTTTATTTACTCATGTTTTATGTTCAAGCTACAATGTCCTTTCTCATGGTCTTCAGTTACATTTTATCCAACCATTTATTTTGCCCCGTAAATGTTTTAAAATAAAAAAAATTAAAAGATTTCAAAAATAAAGAGTGAAAGGCAAAGAATGCAACAAAAACAGCAATGCATAAAATGCGGAGTTTGAAAGGAGAAAAATTCAGAGATATTTCAGAGGCAGAATCTGGGGATGGAAGAAACCCATATCCAGGAAGGTGCTGATGGCAATTTGTGCTGGTTCAAAGTATGCAGAGGCATAGAAATTCTTTTTTTTTAAAAAAAAAAATAATAATCGATCATGCACAAACAAAACTTTAGAAAAAGTTCTATGTAATTCTTCTTTAAAAAAATAAGAAATTTTCAAGTAATTTCTGATTGATGATACTAGCCTATGTTTAATGATTTTTTAACAGAATCTTGCTTGTGTGAGAAATCAATGCAATCGTGGGATAGTTGGAGCTTAATTGGAACGGACCTCTGGAATGTTGTCTTTCAAGTCCTGTTTTGAAAAGAAAACTTGACACTCTCCTAAAGGCACACACGTACACACTTCTCTGGCTTCTTTCACATTCGGAATGCTTTGCTACAGTTTTCCTCTCAGAGAAGAATAGCCATCATAAACCAAAGATTGATCCAGAGAGACTGCTTTAGAGCTGTAAGAACCAGCCTTCTCTTCTCTGTCCACAAGGCAGACCTCCTCCTGACACCACCTGCGGAAGGTAAGGAGAAAGCCTTCTGTCTTCAAATTAAAATGGCATTTCCCACTTTCAGACCCCCGTCTACCTCACCATTGCTTCCTGTTGCTAAAAGGGGATGGCGTATCCTGGATACCGAGTATATTGCAGAAAGCTTTGATGGCATCTGCCCTGGCAGCTGAGCTCTAGAACTTAATGACATATATATCAGAAAACTATATATATATATATATATATATAAAGCTGATCATTCTGAGCTGCTGTAAACCAATTACCACAAACCTCCCCATTAGGACAGAGGTGAGTGATTTTTCCAGAATCCAGGAATGAAATTTGCTCTCGTAACCAGTTAGAAAGCTGCCTGTGTGATAGCAAGGCCTTGCAGAGAAAGAGCAGAGGGTTACGTGGGGGTGGGGGGCAGAACATTCCTTGCAAACCTGAAATCTCCTAAAGTTTGTCCAATTTCAGTAGAATAATTTTAGGGTTGAAGCGGATTTTAAAGGTGAAAAAGATAGCTGCTGTCATCTCAAATCCTTAATTTTTAAAAGTGGGGAGGGGGGAGACAAGGGGTAACCCAATTTGTGCCACTAAAAATCACACATAAGTTCAGGAGAGCTGGGGAAACTCATCATTTTTCTTCTGCAAACTCCAGTCAGTTCTCTGGCCTCGTGTCAGGTGCTTGTCCTATTCAAGCTACTATTTCTCAATTTTCAGAGCAGCTGCTGCAGCCATAGAGCAAAATTGTTTCCCAACTTAATGTGTGCAATATTTTGGGTTTCTCAGTCTTTGCTTTGATATTAAATTTAATGGGTACCTCTGAGCAGCGTAGATATTTGTGGCTGATGCACCAGCCCTGGCGGCCTGCTCCAGCAGAAGGACTCCTGCGGGAAATAAATGCATAGTCGATTAACATTTCTGATTTGCTTCCTAATGAGATCTAATGGGATCTACCCTGTAACCCGAATCGTCTGGGCACTTGACCACATGGAGAACTCTTTATTGTGGGCAACAATTTGGAAGCTCCTTTTAAAGCTCCTTTTTTTTTTTTATTGAAAGTTTTATAAATTTTACAAAAAGACAAAAACAATACAAAACAAAAGACAACATATACAAAAAAGAAACTAAACATTACATATATATATATAAAAAAACCCCCATCCCCCACCCCTCACAAAAACCCTCCCTTCCCCCCCCCCGAGCTTCCCAGAGCAGAATATAGGCTTAATTAAAAATTAAGAAATAAAAATAAAAAATTAAATTAAAAAAATTATATTTATATATATATATATATATAAAAATATCTATATATATATATAAAAATAAAACTATATGATATTTTTGTATACCCAATCTAAATTGTATAAATTTTATCCATTTGTCCCAAACAGCAAGGAACTTCTCTTGCGTTTGTTGCTTTAAGAAAGCCGAAATCTTTGCCATTTCCGCCAGATAAGCTACTTTAAGAAACCATTCCTGCAATGTAGGCAAAGATTCCTTCTTCCAATATTGTCCTACTAACAGCCTATTTTAAAGCTCCTTTTAAAGTCTTCCTATTAATCCTTATTAGCAGCATTCCAGGAACCGCTTTCTCTTAAACAAAGGACTTCCAGCTTGTTCTTTTGCTACGGCCAAACTGCCATCTTCAGTGCTGCACTTACTACATGCAATAAGAATATGTCCTAATTAGCCCAGTTTCCATCAGCTCTAGGGCTTGAGTTCAATTTTGTTTTCTCTGTGCTTCATTTTGTACTGGAGAATCTTTGCCCTTTTTAAAGCATTACACACAAACTCTGATTGCTGGCTTGTGTAAGAGGATTATCATTCAACGTCTTTCTCAGCAACATTCAACAATTAATTTTATGGTAAGCAAGCGAAAGATCTCGAGGCGCTTGCTTCATTACCTTCATAGATCCATGCCAGAGTATAGGCAAAGTCTCTCGCTGCCAGTTGCCACTCAGCTTCTCCCTTCGAGTCCATTCTTGGAACAAACTGCTTGAGTTTTTGCAGATTATTCTGAACTATTTGCACAGAAGTTTGCAGTTCGGACTGTCGGGTAGCTGCCTCCAATTTGGCCTGCAAGGAAACTCCCAAGTCACAGAACAAACACTCAGAATAACCCTCAAATTACCTCGGGCTAGCAGAAGAAATTACTCAACTGCCACTTCTCTGAAGATAGGATTCTCTATTCCCACAAGACTGTTGCAAAAAAGTAAGGATAAGATTAGTGGTACCTCAGAATGAACTGGTTATACAAGCATCTGTGAATCAGAGAAGAGAGTCAACCTTTATTCCAGCTAAGGACTGCATTGGTCTTTTGAGGGTTACATACCGCAAAATTAGTGGATGGGACAACTGATGTAAGAAGTGGCAGTAAATTTTGATTGTGCTCCTTAAAAGACCAATGGGAGTTGATGAGGCTGACTGAGCCTGTTGCTCCTATTAGGTGCCTCTCAAATTTTAACATTTATCAGTGGTGGGACAAACTCATTTATTGGTGTCTGCAGAAAGCTTACCTGGGCAGTGGAGAAAAAGACATCCAGCGCTTTTCCTTGGCTCTTGAGAATGCAGCGCAGAACATCCAGGGACAGGATGTTAGTAGGTCCCTCCCAGATTGGTAGCACCTGGGGGGGGGGGAAGAGAGGCAGAGCTGGAGAAGCAGATGCCAGAGGGTCAACCTCGAGGAGTACGTTGGGCTGACCGAGGATAACCATCCCAAAGTCTCCCAATAGTTCCCATGGTTTTCTGGGTCTAGCACCATAAAACACTCAAGAATAAGGTATTTTCAAATTTCTAGGAATGAATGTTCTGCACTTTAATGTGTTCTTCTTACTGGAATTGCTTAAAAATAAATCAGTTCTCAGAAATGTTATTTTTTAATATTTTCTTTTATAAGTGAATTTGTCTTTCAGATACTTGAAACATCCCCAAGTGTTGTGGAATACCACTGCTATATCTTCAAAGGCAAATATTCAGTTTCTTTTTATTTCTTTTATTTCTTTAAGAAAGAACTTTCTGAATATTCAGAGGCCTGAATTACGTTTCCCCCTTTTCTTCATGATCTCAGAAGTCTACTATAACAAAGCTTATGTCAGGAAGAAAAAGTGAAACAGAGGAACTAAGGTGCAGATTTGTCTTCCTGTTTCTTCTCTCTAAAATAGCAGCAGACTGCAAAAAATAAGAGAAGGAGTAAAAAAAGAAAAAGTCCAGTGCTTTTTACCTGGCTAGACCGGAGCAAAACAGGCAGGCCTGTATCTTCCATGAAGCCCTGTCCTCCGAAACACTCCAGGCCTTCTGAATTCACAGCAACAACCTGAAACACAAACTGACTTGTTTACACATCTGACAAATAAGCTGGGCTGAGAGAAGGACAAACAACAATCCACCAGGTATATAAATGTTAGAATCTATTTTTGCT